TAAGGTTTTTGTGTGTTTTCTTTATATCCCCAGATGTTTGGACCCATTTCCATGATGTCTTGCTTCCAAAGTATTCACAACAGCTGAATGGAGTCAACGTCGTGAGTGGGCCGATATTCGATGAAGACTACGACGGAAACGTTGATGCATTTAAAACAATCTCAGGGTAGGTCAGCGGCAATTAATTTAATATTTTAAATGATCATTACATCAAAAATACTTTTGAGAAGCCAGAAATATCAGTGCAAGATGAGCACACATGTCTCCTCTTCTGAACTATGTCAGCTGTGTTGCTGTGTCATGAAATGTGATCTGATCTTCACCAAAGTCACTTTGTATATTTAATAGTTGTGGTCAATAATGACATGAAAGATCATGATTGTGTTTTATCAGCTTAGACACATTGTGTTTGTTGATATTTGTGACTTTGGTGAAGATCAGATCACATTTCATGACCAATTTATGCAGAAAACCAGGAAACTGTAAACGCTGCCATTACTTTTTCTTGCGCCTGTACATAGCTTCACAGATGCAACACAGTATGAAAACACAATATGTTTTGTTGAACCTCAATGTGCAAACCTCAAGATTTGAGGTGGTGTTGTTCCTGATTGTTTCAATAGTTCAGTAAACCTCTAAAAGGCATTCACTGTTACGATGAATTAAGCTCATCTTGGCCATTATATGCTGCACTTACATAGCTCACACTGATGGTTTTCATGCTCCTGTGATACCTGAAAGGGCCTGAAAATGTCAGTTTCTTGTTACGAGCAATGGGATCCTACATAAACACAATTTTCTGCCAAAGTTGGAACCATGCTGATTATTTTTCACTTCAGCAGTTTTTGTTACTTAGTCCTGATGAAGCATATTAGTTTTTGGGTGTTAATCTCTTGGTAAATTATATCTAAGAATGCCCCCCCCCCAAAAAAAATTACCTTTAATTGCTGTACTATGGATTTTAAGCTACATTTTCATTTACAAGTTCAGATGAGAGGTCGCTGTGAGGTAAAGGAGGCAGGACTTTCTTCAACCCTCTTATCTCTCCAGGAATGAGGCTCCCATCCCGACACATTTCTTTGTGATCCTGACCAGCTGTGGGAACTCGACCTTCAGCCCTGTGACCTGTGAGGGCCCGCTGCAGGCCAGGTCCTTCATCCTGCCCCACAGACCTGACCACACAGAGAGCTGTGCTGTGAGTAACTCCTCACCTATTTGTTTTTGCACGTCAGCCTATGTCTGTGGAAACCTGATGACAAGTCCCCCAGTGGAAAAATTGATCAAAGCTGAGAATTGTAACTAGAGCAGCTATTAATAGGTTTTCTTCCTCCTCATTTTCTGCAGGAGGGGTCAGACTTGACGTGGGTGGAGGACTGGCTGCAGTTTCACACTGCTCGGGTCAGAGACATCGAGCTCCTCACCGGACTCAGCTTCTACCACAACAGGTTATCAGTGGAAGAGACGCTACAGCTCAAGACATTCCTACACACTGCTTAAAATCAGTTGCACTGTCTGATGAAGTTCTGCTAAATGAAGCCATACTGGTCTGCGTGACAGGCCTTTGTCAACATGAACAGGATTCACTGTTGCCTCACTTATAAAAGGTTCCTGTTTTCAGATCAAAGTAATGACATCAGTTTTTTGTAATATGTCTGATTCCAAAGCAAATTTTATAATTATGAAAGCCATGAATTTGTTTTTGAATGTTTTTAAAGCTGATTGTACAAAAATGTCATTTTATAAATTAGGTTCCAGAGCTTTGAACCAAAGACACCATCACACATTTGTTGAATGGCTCTAAACTATTTCCTCAGGCGGGAAAGTGGGGCCTAAAATAAAAGGGAAAAGAAAACACTGAGTTTTTATACCATAGACCGTTTATTGGCAGGAACCTTTCTGGAAACACCATGACAACCTAGAAACATTTGTATCTGCTGTTTGTTATGACAGGATCGTGCCACACATCTGGAAAACTGGCTGCAGCTGCCAGAAAAATGCCCAACATGTAAACCTACGAATTAAGTTTTACTCCTCAAAGAAATTGTCAGTGTAGTGCTACGTTTATTATATTTGTTTTTATGTAGCATCAGTGGTTTTAATGTTCTATGAATTTTTAGTTTGTTTAATGACATTTAATGAGATAATTATACAGTTGAGTGTGTGTGTGTGTGTGCGCGCGCGCACATGGATTGATTTATGAGAAAAAAAATGATCCACACCTCTGCTAATTAAGAGAACGACATCCAGACTGAAAGAGAGACACACTCACTACAAACAACATGGCTTGTTTTGCATCTGTAGTCATTTGGCATCTCTTTGTAGTTGTTTTATATATTTGTGTGCTCATTGTGCATCTCTTCATGGTTGCTTGCATCCCTTTCTGGTTCCTTTGTGTCTCTGTAGTCATTTTGTCTCTCTTTGTAGTCGTCGAAAGTAATTTTTGGGGTCTGTTGGATCTCATCACAGTTGCTCGCTTGCATCTCTGTAGTCACTGTGTGTCTCTTTCACCAACACTGTGCTGATGAAGCTGAGTTCTCTGCTGTTGGTTGAAAAGCTGCAGCTGATCTCGGACAGTGGAACTGGAGATGAAGAGAGGTTGTCTTTACCTGCAAGGTCAGTTCAGTAATCTGTGTATATGTGTTCTTGTACTTGCTATATAGTGAGGACCAAAAGTATTTTTTGCAACAGAGTGAGGACATTCTGGCCAGTGCTCACTTTCTGAAACAGCTTTTTGAGGGTTTCGGTTAGAATCAAGTTTAGGTAAAGGTTAGGGTTGGGAATTTAGTTCTGAGGGTTAAGTGTTAGGGTCAAAGATAGAAGTATACAGTGCCTTGCGAAAGTATTCGGCCCCCTTGAACTTTGCGACCTTTTGCCACATTTCAGGCTTCAAACATAAAGATATAAAACTGTAATTTTTTGTGAAGAATCCACAACAAGTGGGACACAATCATGAAGTGGAACGAAATTTATTGGATATTTCAAACTTTTTTAACAAATAAAAAAACTGAAAAATTGGGCGTGCAAAATTATTCAGCCCCTTTACTTTCAGTGCAGCAAACTCTCTCCAGAAGTTCAGTGAGGATCTCTGAATGATCCAATGTTGACCTAAAGTACTAATGATGATAAATAGAATCCACCTGTGTGTAATCAAGTCTCCGTATAAATGCACCTGCACTGTGATAGTCTCAGAGGTCAGTTTAAAGCGCAGAGAGCATCATGAAGAACAAAGAACACACCAGGCAGGTCCGAGATACTGTTGTGGAGAAGTTTAAAGCCGGATTTGGATACAAAAAGAGTTCCCAAGCTTTAAACATCCCAAGGAGCACTGTGCAAGCAATAATGTTGAAATGGAAGGAGTATCAGACCACTGCAAATCTACCAAGACCTGGCCATCCCTCTAAACTTTCAGCTCATACAAGGAGAAGACTGATCAGAGATGCAGCCAAGAGGCCCATGATCACTCTGGATGAACTGCAGAGATCTACAGCTGAGGTGGGAGACGCTGTCCATAGGACAACAATCAGTCGTATACTGCACAAATCTGGCCTTTATGGAAGAGTGGCAAGAAGAAAGCAATTTCTTAAAGATATCCATAAAAAGGGTCGATTAAAGTTTGCCACAAGCCACCTGGGAGACACACCAAACATGTGGAAGAAGCTGCTCTGGTCAGATGAAACCAAAATCGAACTTTTTGGCAACAATGCAAAACGTTATGTTTGGCGTAAAAGCAACACAGCTCATCACCCTGAACACACCATCCCCACTGTCAAACATGGTGGTGGCAGCATCATGGTTTGGGCCTGCTTTTCTTCAGCAGGGACAGGGAAGATGGTTAAAATTGATGGGAAGATGGATGGAGCCAAATACAGGACCATTCTGGAAGGAAACCTGATGGAGTCTGCAAAAGACCTGAGACTGGGACGGAGATTTGTCTTCCAACAAGACAATGATCCAAAACATAAAGCAAAATCTACAATGGAATGGTTCACAAATAAACATATCCAGGTGTTAGAATGGCCAAGTCAAAGTCCAGACCTGAATCCAATCGAGAATCTGTGGAAAGAACTGAAAACTGCTGTTCACAAACGCTCTCCATCCAACCTCACTGAGCTCGAGCTGTTTTGCAAGGAGGAATGGGCAAAAATTTCAGTCTCTCGATGTGCAAAACTGATAGAGACATACCCCAAGCGACTTACAGCTGTAATCGCAGCAAAAGGTGGCGCTACAAAGTATTAACTTAAGGGGGCTGAATAATTTTGCACGCCCAATTTTTCAGTTTTTTATTTGTTAAAAAAGTTTGAAATATCCAATAAATTTCATTCCACTTCATGATTGTGTCCCACTTGTTGATTCTTCACAAAAAATTACAGTTTTATATCTTTATGTTTGAAGCCTGAAATGTGGCAAAAGGTCGCAAAGTTCAAGGGGGCCGAATACTTTTGCAAGGCACTGTAAGTGGGTGTGTTTGTGGGCTTTATTTTTGGGATCAACACACTTTATTCTGGCTTTTCTTATTTCCTCTTCACAGCTGCTTCCTTGGTCAGTGAATTGTCGAAAATGAGCAGTTCAAAAGATGCAGCCTGTTTCATTGTGTTACAGCTTTGTCACTTTTGTCTGAAATGACAGCTATTGACAAATGGACCTTTTCATATAAAAACTCCTACACTGACCTTGCGCCTTGAATTCCTTGTTTATAATCGTTTACATAGAGATCACCACTGTAAAGAAACACTGTTCAACGTCGCACACAAAGAAAAGAAAATCTTCCAGCCGAGCGAAGAATGCAATAACACCAACCAGCAGTTGCAATGTTCTACAAAATGCAACAGTGTGTGTGAACACAGAAAGGAAGGAAACTGTGCACTCTATGTTTCCTCCCGTGTATAAAATCTGCCACATCCTCAGGTTTACCCAGGAGCGCAGTGTCTCAAGGTAAGCTCTTGCAACTTTTTGCTCTGAAGTGGTTCTGGGTGCACTAGCCTGAGCTTTCCTACTTTGAACTGTTGACTGTTGTCGATTGTCAACTAGACTAGAAGACGCCTAGTGTTTTATTACTTAGGTTCTGACTAAGGTGTTTCATGTGTGTACTGTGGAGACTCTGTCTGCACAGTACAATGAAAGTGAAATATAGAGCGTTACCATTTCTCACAAGTGTCGAAGACTTTGCTTGGATAATCTTTAGCTGTAAAGAACTGCATAAATGTGCACAAATTAAAATCAAAACTGGAAACCCACTACATAATAAAACACGCAAGGTGATAACTGTTTGCAAAGCCTCATTGGAGACTTTCAGTTCATAGCAGACTTTGTCACCTTGTCAGGAAAAAGTCATTCTTTCTAAAGAAAGGACTCAGTTTCTGTGTCAGTTTATGGTCTGTGAGCATGACTTGACAGTTGACAGAATTAGTTTTGAAATTTGCTTGCGGTGAACGCTGTGGCTGTAGGTATAGACGTGCTGATTGGAGGAATGCAGTTTGCTCACATGGGGTCTTCTGGGAAACTGCTCTCAGTGGGGAAACGTGTCAGAGACCTTGTGAGTGGTTTGGTCATTGATGCAGCATTCAGCTGCTATATTTGGTTTCAGATGTAAATAATTGTCCTCTACTGTCATTTGTTTGGTGGGCTGACAGTAAAGGACAATTAATTACATCTGAAACCAAATATAGCAGCTGAATGCTGCATCAATGACCCTCGCCATCACTTCTCGGATGTTAATTACATCTGAAACCAAATATAGCAGCTGAATGCTGCATCAATGACCCTCGCCATCGCTTCTCGGATGTTAACGCGGTTACCACACACTCAAGGGCAGCCTGAATCACTGTGGTTTTTTGCATAGTAGAGGTGAGTGCAAAATGAGTGTGCTTGCACTGATGTGAAGACAGTCATCCGCAATACAAACTCAACCTGAAACACGTCCTGTCAGACTGAGGGCTAATAGTCTTCAACTGAAGGATCACATGAAGATATGCGCCCTGTATCACAGCCTTCTCCTACCTTCACATCTTGCCTCATTGATATTTACAGCTGGGGAGAATCCCTTCAGGCATGTTGCACATCAGAAGAGGACAGATAACAGCTTTGTTCCTCTGTGAGCCATTAGGCCAAATTATAGCTGACACTGATTGTTTTCTCCAGCCTTCAGGCAGCTCTGGATTGTGGCAGGGACAGGCTCTTATCTACCAACATGACATGGATGGCTTTCTGCTATTCAACAGGTCACTTCCTCTCTAGTTCACAACTTTCACTTGCCTGCTACTGCAAAATATTTTTTTAAATGGGACCTACTTATGAGATAAATAATAGCTTTAAGGGGATAGTTTGATGTTTTGGGAAATATGTTCATTGCCTTATCAAGAGTTGAAGCAAATGCAGGCACTACTCTCATGTCTGTAAGCTAAGAGTTTAGCATGGCTTTAGCACCTCTATCTGTGTATTCAGACAGAACATGAGACGGGTTTTAAAGGTTACGCAGATGCAAAGAGTCAATAGACCCACTTCACCTTATCCCAGGCCTTTCTGAATCTGCTTCATAGAGGTACAAGCTGAATATTTACAGTGACTGGAGTTTTTGGTGAGCTCTCGACCCAGTCAGGTGGTTCACTGGCTGACTGGGGAGAATCGACACAGAATCAAATGGTCAAAATGTGCAATCACATATGGTGGAAAAACAACTTTGTATTCTGTCTGAACATACCTTGTGAAATTCCTGGAGTCTTCTCATCCCACAAGACTATCGAGTCACTGCAAAAGGCCAAGAAATGGTCAGTAGTTAAATGGTTACCGTAAGAATTGAATAAGATATGATGTGTGTAACTTTAGAGATGGGTTTTGTTACATTTGGACAGAGCCAGGCTACAGTAGCGCTTTCTCCATGTTCCCAGTCTTAATGCTACACTAAACTACTTGTAACTGTCTACTGGCCGCAGCTTCGTATTTTCCAATCACACATGAAATTGGCATCCTAAAATGTTGAACTAGTCCCTTAAAGCATTTAAGTCTGTATTTGCATTTGAGTTTCATAAAACAGACTTGTCTTTATTTACAGATGGATACGCTTCAGCTCACCACTTTCTTTTAAAATGGACTTTTAGCAGGTTGAATAAGGTTTAAATAAGTCTACTGACCTGTAAAAAGAAAGAGAGAGGGAGAGAGAGAACAGAGACCCACGCCAGCCATTAATAATGCAGGGGCTGGCATTTGGTTTGTTTTGCAGCATCACTGCTCTTCCTGCAGCTGAGGAGGCAGTGCTGATTTGCCAGGATGGGCTGAATATTCAGAGGGGAAATGGCTTGTGACACAAATGTAGGAGGGGATGATGAGGACATGAGCAGTGTGAGAATGTAACTGAAGTGTAGCTGGGAGTTTGTGTTGCTTAATCATATCATACACTGCAGAGAGTCTGAGGCTACTCTAGCAGAGTATCTGCATTATCAGGAAGCAGATTTAATCACTTCCCTTAAGAGGAAAAGAATTTTGAAAAGGGGTATTTCCACAGTAGCTGGACTGGAGGTTGAGGAGGTTTAATCAGTCAAGCAGAAACCCTACAACTAACCATAGAGTAGCTGTTCAGGTATGTCTGACTGTGACGTGGATGGAGATCATAATCAGGAAGAGGAGGATCCTACTGCATGTACAGCAGAAGAATGTTTGTTTACTGTCATTTACTCTTTCAGCTGCAGAAGACTAAAGAGGAGGTTTGGGCCTGAGTTCAGTTGGGGGAAGGGTTAAAGAGGAGGAGACTGGTATAAAAAGAAGACACAGAAGCAGAGAGGAGGACAGACAGGAGAAGCAGAGAGAACAGACAGGAGAAGCAGAGAGGACTGTTCAAAGATGGACCTAAATCTTCTTCAAGCTCTGGAGAGGAAGTGTGTCTTGGAGGTTCTTCACAGAGACAAACAGCTGCGTATTATTGAAGAGGACAGGATCAGGTGAGTGATTTTAGGTCACTTTTACATGTTCTAAAATCCTTTGTGATGCTGACAGGAGGCTGAACCAACAAAGTAATTATGTTAACAAAATATGATTTAGTGTTTGGTTTTCTTTGACTAAAACCTATTTTTGTTTGGTTCCTCAAACAAGATGTTTCAATTTGTGCACTTTAGAGGTGAGCTAGGTAGATTTTGTCACCTTTGCACAAAGCAAAGTGGCAGTAGGTGTTTTCCCTGGTACAGTTAGCTAAGTGTCTGTATATGTATTTTTAACACCTACTGTAGGCATGAGAGGTGTCAGTCTTCCTACAGTATAACTGTAATGAGGCTGTTTCCATCATAGGTTACTTCCTTTAAAATAAGATAAAGCATTTGAATCTGTATTTGTGTCAGCATTTTACAGAACTTTTAAAGGAATTTAGGTGGATTGATTGAGTGTACACCTGCAAAAGATGAGGGAAAAGAAATTGGAACCTATTTTGGTACCCAGGCTTTTCTTTGTATGATGTGTCAGTTTGAACATTTACTGAACACCAGTTTTCCACTTCACTTCTGACAGAGGTGATGTTTTCTTTTTGACGATGTTAGTTAAAGGTGTCTATGAGTCTGTCATTTTTCTCCTCAGGAGGATGAAATACGAGCTCCAGGAGCTTCGAAGGAGGGGTGCGAAGAGTCTGGACCGGCAATATGGGGAGCGGACCTGTGCTCGGTGCCAGAGGCCACTGGGAAAGTTCTGGAACTCAGGCGCAATCTGCCATGGCTGCAGCCACCGGATCTGCAGCAAGTGCTGCGTAGGCATGGGAGCAGTGGGCTGGAAGTGCACAGTCTGCCACGCCTACAGGTACAGTAGAGAGCTAAACCACTAACCACCAGAGACAGAGAAACCCACTGTCTGGCTTGTCCTCTGTGGGAAACTAGAACCAGGTCTTTTGTGTCAACTCTTTGTATATTTACATTTTTAAAGCAGCTATGATCTATATTTGTAATCATAACATTAAATGACAATGTGAACGCTACAATATGAGACAAGAACAATTAAGAATTAGTTCCTCACTTTGCATCTTCTCAGCTTTCACCATCCCAAATAGCCAAACATCAGTTTTTACACTTAACTAATATACAGAGTAGATTAGTCACTTCTCTCAGAATGAATTTTAAATATCTATAGACTTTAAATATCTAAAGATAACAATAAAACAAAAATCAAAAAAGACTGCATAACCTAACTAAATAAATGAATTTTTTAAAAGCATGCACAGGTACTGTACTTTTTCAGCTAATTGGTTAACAGGTTAGTTTCTCAGTAGTTGTAGGACTTTCTGCCCTTTGACACTTAATCTTGAGCTTTTACTCTGCATGGAAATGACAATGAGAGAATTTCTGATGGGGCTTGTTTTGTTCTTTTAAATGCCCATTTAACCTTGGCTCATCTGAGAGCTGACGTACTTTGGTAAACGAACTGTATGTTAGTCACGTCTCTCAACAGTAACTCTTCTAATAGCTGGAAAAAAGAGGCAGCGTAGTTGCACATCAGGACTCTGTGTTTGAGCATGGTTTTGATTGATTGATTGATTGATTCTTTCAAACATGCAGAACAGAACAAATGAAATGGTTTGTTTTGTTTGTTTTCTTCTTCACAGGGAGGTCAAGATCAAGTCTGGAGAGTGGTTTTTAGAAGAAAAGGCAAAAAGATTTCCAGGAACAACAGGTTTGTTTAAAGTGCTTAAACTGCATGCATGCATGCACAGATTCTGTTTAATTTGTCCTCATTATTGATTAATACTCCCTTGATATAATCCAATTTAACTACACTGATGAATAAAATACAGGTGATCCGAGTTGTGCGTCTAAGCCATCTGCTTTATATGTTAAAAATTGCTGTTCAGTGGGTCATTCAGTATTTGTTCTTTACAGATAAACATGAGACAGTTGGGGAGAAGCTACTAAAGACACACAATGTGCTGAGGTAGGACAAATCTCTTTATTTTGGATGTTTGTAGTTAGTTTGATCCTTTAAACTGAATACTTGAAACCCAAATGGTTTTTTTCTTTCCTTGTATTTTCACAGCCACATATCAGTTGTTCCCCCCACACCTCCGCCTCACTTGGAATATCAGTTTCTGAGCAGATCTGGGGTAAAGCGCTGACTGTTTCCATCATTATGTCACAGCAAAATGGGAAAACGCATGACCCGAGAGTCACTTTTCTGTTTTGATCTACAGGATCTGCAAAACTCAAAGCCTTTCACTAAATCTGTGGAAGATCTAATGGTTTCTTTCACAAGTCACATCAAAAGTAAGTTGCCGCAGATGTTCTCACACTGGTTAAAAATTATCAGCATCATCACAAAAATTTAGCAAATCAAGTGTCAGTGTGCAGATGTGCGAGAGAGTGTCACTTCAGAATTGCTGCGTATAGCATGGAGCGACAATCTGATCTCGATCTGGATCTGGATGAGCTGAATACAAGCACAGTAGTGACCACAAAGGAAGCTTGGCTAATTAATATGATGCAAAGATTAAAAAAATAAACCTATGGCCTCATAATACAACCTGCATCTGTGAACGTTGCATAAGATGATGGACAAAGATACATGTTACATGCATTGCAACAAAACTCCCTGTGATACCACACAGGACTGTGTGAAGAATTGTACCAACCTGTGCACTTCTCTAAAAGTAAATATGATTCAAAGTGTCTAACTTCTGTTTTTGTCAACGCAGAAATGTCAAATTCTCAAAATGATGTGCGGGGAGACCGGCTGAGCGTTGATACCAACCGCAGAGAGTCGTGCTTCAAGTTCACCACCCAGAAGAGCCTGTCTGACACGGACATCAACAGAGCGAGCAACGTAAGTGGGCTGCAACATGATGCACTCAAAGATGGGTCATTTTAGCTTCACATACAAAGTTTGAGGTCATCTTCACTGGCCAGTGAGTGTTGTAATGTTCTGGCAGTTGCACCAGACACTGTCACACATCAGAATGTGGCTGGCTTTAAACTCTTTTACATCTTAATGAGTAAAACTTGAAGTAAACTGATCAATTCAGTTGGGAAGCCAAGCTTTTTTCCAGCTGAGACCATTTATTTCTTTTACCAATTTTCAAATGGCAATCCAGACTTTCATCACCTCTAGACTCGACTACTGCAATGCACTGTACTCCGGAATTAATCAGTCTTCTCTTTCTCGTCCCCAACTGGTTCAAAACATGGCTGCTCATCTACTGACAAATACTCCTAAGCATGACCACATAACCCCTGTTCTGGCTTAAACACAAGTTTTTAAAGTGCTATATAAATAAATTTTGATTTGGTAACGGTATAAAAAAGCACAATGAAGAAAACGATCCTTCTTCACTTTACAGCTCTTCAAAGTCCCAAGTCTTCCAAACCTGTTCAAGAAAAGCAAAGACAGCGACCAGGAAAGTTCCTCCACTGGCGCAGAAGAAGAAACATCCTTCGGTTCTGGGTACTCCACAGGAAAGAGAGTGGGTAGCTAAGAGAAGAAAACTCCCCAAGCAACATTTAAACATCAGATTATAGACTGATCATTACATCCTCTGAGCTCATGTAGAAACCCCCTTTCTTCTGGAAGCTCTTTTGACATAAAGCTACTCTGCTGCCTTCCTCAGGGCAGTGCCAGCAGCATCAGCACAGACTGCAGCCTCTTCGAGGGCGGCGGCGTGACAGGAGAGCTGGAACTGGCTCTGGCCTACAATACCACCACCTCCTGTCTGGAGATCACGGTTGGCGCCTGCAGAAATCTCACTTATGGAGAAACCAAGAAGAGGAAGTGTGACCCGTAAGGAAAATACATAAAACACTCTGCATCATATACAGTATGATTTTGTTGTGATACTCTATCTAATCCTTTGTATGTACTGCATGTGTGACTTCTATATGTAGATACATCAGATTCTACGTGCTGCCCGGAAAAAGCGGCAAAATGAAAACAGGAGTGAAGAAAAACACCACAGATCCAGTTTATAATGAAGTCTTGAAGGTAAAAAAGGCAGCAATGCCTTTAGTTAGTCAACTAGGTCTTAGGTTAATTATCATGCTTCATTTGGCCAAACTTAACATTTATCTGGTTTTTGCCAGTATCAAATAGAGCGCCGCCTGCTGTTTGGAAAGAGACTGCAGGCCTCTGTGTGGCATGGACGGACCCTGAAAAGGAAAGTGTTTCTCGGTGAGGTCCTCATCCCACTGGATGGGTGGAGATTTGAGGACAAGGCCTCCCAGTGCTTGAACTGGTATCCACTGTGTTCAAAGGTAAAACAGCACACAAAGACATTCAATGTTCTTTTATTATGTAATATACACTGCTCAAAAAAATTAAGGGAACACAAGGGAAAATAAGACATTGAACTATGTAATGAACAAGGTATTTAATAAGAATATTTCATTCATTCAGATCTAGGATGTCTTATGTTGTGTTCCCTTTATTTTTTTGAGCAGTATATATATTCCAGCACCTGCAGATGTGGTGTTTTTCTTTCAAATCTCCATGCAAGTTTATCATCTTCTTTCCTGTGAATCAGTCTGAGTGTCCAGATGGAGGCACTGTGGAGCAGGACAGAGAGGATCTGCAGCTCAGAGTCAAGCTCAGCGCCAACAACCAGGGTGAGTTCCCACAGCTCAGCTACCCAACATGTCTGGCAAACAAACAGATGCATAACTTTAAAGGTTCTCTGAATTTACACCCAGATTTTATTGTGTGAGGCAATGCCTGGGGCATGTGAAGCCCTAGTTAGTTGATAGTAGACTTCACAAAACCTGAGCTTTTATCCAACAGTATTATAATACTAAGAATTATTATTGCTAATCATTTTGTAACAGTGCATTATATCTTATAAACACAATGTATAGCTTTAGCTGTGGTGTTAAATACATGAATTGTAAGTCTCAAAACTTTCAGTATCATTCCTGGTGTGTTGAGATGTTACTGTAGCCTACACGTGATAACAATTCAGTATTCAACACCAGCATTTTTCAAAAAGATAAAATAATGTTAAGATGACAGTGGGGTTAAAAAAAAAAGCCCATAGTAGAAATAATATCTTTACAAGTTGAAACTGAGAAAACGGACCAAACATACCACACGCCAGGAGGAGCAGCTCTTGGTTTTTTCATTACAGCACTAGGGGTCAGGCTACGTCTATGCCAGTCATGTTGTCTTCCTCCGTACGGAGGTTTAACAGTGGGCCACACAGCAGTGATTGACTGTTCTTATCTAAGGTGCCCAGCACCTTCCCATTAATGCAAACACTAGTCAGAACACCCCGTGAACCTGCGTGTTTGTCAGTGTCCGAAAGGTGTATTCTGGTGCATCTTTATTCTCTGAAGGGTGCAAGTGTTGAATAGGTTCATAGAGCTATTTGTGTGTGTGTGTCCAGGTGTCTGACTCCGGGAGCCCGCAGAGCTCTTCCAGACGATGCCCATGTGTGAGGATGAGACTGTCTGAGGCTTCTCACCACCTGCTGTTTGGCCAAGGCTCCAGGACATCTCTCTGAACCTGGACCTGTGGGATGAGACCCCTGGGAGGGCTCAGATAGATCCTGGTAACAGCAGAGACTTCCCTTCTCACATTCTGTATAACCATTTCTCTAGTAACTCTATAACCCCACTTATTTCATGTTAGGTCTATTTCAGTATATAAACAATTACTAAATGATAACACACTATAACTTGGTTGTAAGCAGACAAAGGTATCAATGTCTTAACTACAACTGCCCATGCAAAGCATCTGTATAATACAAACACTGCCTTCATATTACATATGTATTTATTTGGTGTCTTATTTATTAATAAAGCCTTTATAATTCTTGACTCTAGGGTTGAAGTGTGTCATCAGTTTTAAAGTGAGGCTACTCTGAATTTGAAAGACACTTCAAATGCAGCAATTTCCTGTCAACGGCTAAACCTCCAGGCAAATAACATTACTGGAAGAGACACTTGGATAATACACTGACTTTATGTAAAATTGCACACACCTGTATGCAATTCAATGCAACACTTGTGTCTTAACATCTGTGTTAAAGAAGCTTATATTTGTTTTTGGTAAGACTGTAAAATGTATAAATTCAATTGTTTATTATTGAGGTAACAGTTAAAGGTGGTGTTGTACTGGACTACATTATATTCAGAGGTATGTCGAAGTTTTGTCCTCCCCAGCTACATAAATGAGGTCAGAATATTAGGAACACCTCTGAATGTAATGTAGTCCAGTACAACACCACCAATAATAAACATAACTGAATTTACACATTAGACACTTTCACCAAAAACAGACATTTTAAGCTTCATAAACAGATGTTAAGGCAGAAAGGTTGCACTGAATTGTGTACAATTGCACAGATGTACATCAAAGAGGCCAGTGAGTGTATTTCTGACTTAAATCTGGAGTCACACCCGCCTGTCACAGGAAGTGATCAGAGTTTAACGCAGCAGAATCTGGTTCTTTAACAGTGAAACCTTTCTCATCTCCGTCTAAGCAGCGCGTGAAGACTCCTATCCATGGTAACCAGTGTTGCAGATGCCACTGGTAAGTGGAATGTTGTATCTAATTTATATTGTAGAGGTGCATTTTCAATTTAGTTAAAACAGTCTAGTAGTTGAGATATTTGGCTGGACTGACTCCGAATCACACCACTAATACAGCTAACAAATACATAATGCCAAATATGTAATTTTAAACAAAAAGACCCCTCATTTTCTATTTTAACAGTATTTAGCACCCCCCACACAGAGACTAAAGCTAACAATGGTTTGTCTTTGCTCGCTGTTAGCGACTGTCAGTCAATGATTAGATTATTTGCCTGTGCCACAGACCTGTTGTGGCTCAAAACGGATTAAAAACGCATTAGGGAAACAGCGCTGCACTGGGTGATGTTTCCTCATTATGAAACAAGATTGTATAATTTAAGAATATCCAGAGATCTTGTGCATGGGCCGCTGACTCTTGCTTTCATCAGACGCTGTAAAACGTTATGGCCATTCAGCCTCTGGGGCAACATAAAAAAAAAATAAATCACAATCTTGTTTCGTAATGAGGAAAACATCAGCCAATGCAACGATGTGTTTCCCCAGTGTGCTTTTAATCAGTTTTGAACCACAACAGAGACCTATGGCACAGACAAATAAGAAAATTCAGGACCAACAGGTAAAAGTAGGGGCGAATCATTGTTGGTTGGAGTCTCTGTACGGGGACTGTTTAAAACAAGAATATGACCGGACTCATCCTTTAATCTGAAGAGCGGCCCAACAACAACTTTACCAACAATATGTGCAGTCCAATGTAAATATATGCTCATGTGGAATCACAAAATTTATTGCCAATATTTTGAACACCTCATAAAATCCCCTTCAGATACAAAGGCCAGCAGCACTGTTTGTTTACATTACATTGTCAGCAGATGTTACTCCTAGACCATGTCCAGACAGAGGACACGTCTGTGTTACATGGTCTCGGCCAGCTTTTTGTGACCTTGCAGAAAAATGAAAATGATTTACAACATTGTTTAACCTCTGTGGAGGTCTAACACTACAAAAAACTAAGGGTTTGCAAAGTTACATCCTTGTTTTGTCTGAATATGCACTGTGGCTAAGGAGTACAGAGCAGCTGCACCATGCTGAGGGACATCCAGGGAGAAAGGCCACTTAGGAGGGTAAAAGCACAATGTGCTTCACGACACAGAACAGAGAGAAATCAATTGAACTGACATGTCCCGGTCAACACAGAGCTGTAAAAATAAAGACACTCCTCAACAGGCTGAAAACTACATGGCAAAAAAAAAAACACAGGTACAAAGATGGATGCAATTTCTGTAACTGATTTACTGGCATGCAGCTGGATATTTCCTACTGTAAAAAATAATAATTTACAATTAAATGTTCTTATTCTAAAGGTAAAGGTACTGAACATAAGATTATTTAGGTCAATATATAAAACTTTTGAAACATTTTATTAGTAGATAGCAAAAATATACAAACCAAGATGAAATACCCTTTTTAACATCCCATATACAGTATAAATATCAAACTAGGAATGATTTTAAACTAATGTATAGCAATATTAAACATAACTGGAAGTGTTCAAATGTAACTGAAAACAAATGTTTCTGCTTATACTGTTTTCCCCTTTCTGAGTGGTCGCCCTAAACAAACTGTCCTTCGTGGCAGATGGCAAAAAGAAGCCAGGTTATGATTACATATATTCTATGTGTACATCATGAGATAGTGATAGAATCTGGCTAGTCCCGCTACATCATCCCACCTCTGGCTAAAAACTAATGATTTGGTCTGAACTGCTGAAATTATACACAAACATCTAAAATGCTGAAGAGAAAGTTTTGGCACCAAGTTTTCTTCAAAAGGATTTGCAAAGCCCTGCATACTGCCAGGCAAACTCACAACAGGAGTTTCTCTTTCTAAAAATGATGTTTCTGCTCTGCTTATACTGCTCCAGTTTAGTCTGCAACTGATGTGTATGTGCATCGTTTGTGTGTGTGGCGACACGCGTCAGCCGAGGAGCAAGATATAGTGACCATTCAGAAAGGTTACGTGGCGTCTTATAAGGCTTCAAACTCGTCAATCCTCTGCTTGGTGTTGCCCTGCCTGATCTGTCGCAGGGTCTTGTATTTGTCTCGGCCGGCCCGCATGTTCTCACTGTGAAGAATGTCGTTCTGGGTGCTCTTGGATTCATCACGCGCCTGAGCCAGCTCTGAAGTTAGGGCCTGAGGGCAGAGGAGAAGAACAAGCATGAGAGAGAGAGAAAACAAAAAAGTGAAATGTAATGATCATACAATGATTATGCTCTGGTAAAATACCTCTTTCTTGTCCTGTTTCTATCCATTTGTCACCATTATATACACAAGGTCCAACTAATAATTCTCCTAACATTTCCTTTGTGACACCAGAGAAGATAAATAAACCCATACGGTACTGCACACCATTTCTCTAAAGGTCCTCCTCCGTTCTTTACTTGAATTGAATTTTATACTGTATTTGCATCTTGAGGAAACGTCACTCTTTGAGGTTCCATTTCACACTGTCCTCACCTTCAGCTGTTTCTGGACACGCTCATTCTTCTCAGCCTCCGTCAGGCGATCCTCCTCTTTGCGATGGTCGTTAATACCTTCGATATGCAGGTCGGCGCTGTGCGTGCTGGTGTTCTCCTCGCTGTCACTGTTGTCATCCATGTGGTCATACATTGGGGGAGGGGGAGGTGGCGGGGGTGCCATCATCATATGCAGCTCCTCTTTAGTCTTAACCAGACTGTCCTGGGCCTCCTTGGCCTGGTGACAACAGAAAAATGAGTTGGTTCTTTTTTTTTGTCTCTTAACTGTGATAGAAAAATATCTTTTTTGGTTTGTTTTAGTCCTGTAACTCTTTATAACAAGAACAAATTGACATAACCTACTTGTTTTTGTACAGTTGTGGCAGGTTAGAGAATCTGTAATAGCAGTCTAAATGTATTTCCAGTCCTTGTGGGTATACTGTACTGTGCTATACTTGTGCCTTAAATGACCATCTCTGATTTTCCCCACTAGACAGAATCAGCTGAATGATTGCCAGTAGCCTGTGCACTGTAGTTTGCACTCAGTTGAAGCTCTCACCCTGAGCTGCCATGTGTCAACCTCCTCCTCCTTGCGTTTCTTGGCCTCCTCCAGCTGGGTGATCCGGGCCGTGTGCTGGGCCAGCTCCTCAGCCTGACACAAAACACACACAATTCCCATTAAAGATGAAGTAAAAAATTATTTTTTTTAAATCATGCTTCATAAATTACAGAAAGAAATTGGTTTTACTGTACTAGACAAGTACAAGTTAAGTGTGAGATGTCCTTGCTTTTCTTTTATCGCAGGACATTTTTTAGTCTGTTAATGTTGATGGCAGATTCTCAAATGCCTCCCTCAGCTGAGGCCTAAATTATGCAGAAAATAGTATGTTTTGCATTGTTTTTCCACAGTTAAATCTTTGTGTAAACATACTTTGATTCATCAAATTCACTGACATCGTATAAACTCGTATCTTAAACTCATCTAATGAAAAGTGTCTGGGAAAACTTGCTCTCGGCACCATCTGAACTACAGAGAAACATGAATATGAAACGGTAGAAGGAAAAAAAGCCAGTATAAAAAGGAAGCCAGCGTTTTGAGAAGAGCATGATGATCAAACATAACCAGACTCTTTGCGGCTGTTGTCATATGTTCCTCCCAACCAAAACAATCATGGGAACATCTTGTCCTTGACCAGACTGAACTGACCACAGGCTCTGTATTAAACACTGCACCTGCTCTGATTGTTCAGCATGTGTGAGCTGTAAAGACACAGCACCATAAAACTGTTACGTGAAAGGTGCTCAGCTAGAAAATAAGTCACTCAGTAGAAACAAAGACACTGTGTACCATTATTAATATATCACCATATGTGCTTTTGAATTTCTAAATTCCGTTGATCACAACACTGACGAATATTTCTTTGTCAGTGGAAGCTGCACAGAGATTTAATCCGCTACACAAGCATCTTAATAGGGTTTAAATGTAATGGACGTCACAGCAGGTGCCTGGCTGTCAGTGACTGAATGTGTCGTAGGAGCCACAGCTTTACTGTCTAGGCTGTTAAAGTGGAAGCACCCGGCCCTGTGTGTGGTCCCTGGCCCAGCAACTCAGCGTGAGACTGAAGGGGTGTGATCCAGCTGGAGGCTACAATGTGGCTTTGTCTGGAGCTACTGTGGCCAGGAACAGCTGAATACACCACCCTGCTGGGTGCCTGGTACACACCTGGACAAAATAACAGCTACTGAAATGTAATGTAGTGAGAGAAAAGGTCTGGCTTTCTTATCTCACAAAGAAGGTGCCAACTTTGACAAATCTTTGTTTTACTCTTGTTTAAAGAAATGGCAACTAAAGTGCTGCAGGTTTTTTGTACTGTAAAAACCTACATTAGTAGATTTACAGTAAAACCTGTTTCAAGGTCTCTACACAATGGCACAGCATCATTAAATTACTGACCAGCTGCTCCCGGCTCTTCTTCTGATGCTCAGCCTGGCGAGCGAGCTCCTCTTTAGCCAGCAGAGCATCCTGACGCTCTGCCTCCAGACGTGCTGCCTCATTTTCGGCTCTCCTCCGCTCCTGATCCAGCATCATGGCTCTCTGGAGCTGCTCCTGGAGATCTAAAATCGAGAAAGGAGCGAGGAGACAAAAGGGATTGAGACTGATGCTAAGTTTCTGCATGCAGACAAACACAAAGTACACTGCATCAATGTATGATAAGTGGGAAACCAGTCTCATTCCTTATTTCATGAAAAACTAACTTCCTTAACGAAATCTTCTAAGCCACCATACCTAATTATAAACTGTTCTTGATCCATATGCAGATATTACACAGAGGTAAACAATTCCGCTTTTAATAAAAATGGATAAGAAATTTCTGTTTGTAACTCATATTTAGAAGAGCAATTACATATAGTATAAAATCACAGAGCTCCCTTTATAACTCACAGCTACTTCAGTGATTTCATGGCAACATAATGTGTATTCTGTGAGACCGTCGATGTAAGTATTTCAAAAAGCAACAATACACATTCCCATGACCATGTAGACCCTCTGGTACTTGTATTGTTCAGGGATTTAAGAAAGAGAAAAAAAAAAAAAAACACTGTAGCCCATTTGGCACCAATGTACGAGCAGGAAAGAGGAAGCCCTGGAGTCACTTTATGATCTTATGAGCCTGACAGCTTACTGTAATTTTGTCAGTAATAAGCGACCTCCTTCCAGTGGTCGAGCAGAGTTTAGATAAGATTACCACTTTCTACTTAACTGCCTGCAGACAAGATTTTCATAAGTAGACAGGTAAAACTAGAACTAAACAGTCAATTAGCTTTTGTTTCTCTGATTTGGACACTGAACCAAAAAAAATAAAAACAAAAAATTAAGATGTCATGAGGCCACGTGTATACAAATTACATTACTGAAGTAAATTAACAGCCACGTGATTATTTTAGCTTACATTCAAACCACCACCACCACCACCCAGGTTGTTTACAAAACAAGTGAGCTGCATACATAACCTGTTAGCCTACCACTGACCAGCATAATCGCACACCAACGCTCAGACTTTCTATTCTCTGGGTCAAGTGATGGATAAGCCACTGAAGGCTCCTAGGCCCTACCTTTCTCTGCCTTCTTGGTTTTCTCTTCAAACTGGTAGATCCTCATCATCAGATCCTGCTTCTCTCGCTCCATCTGCTCCTTCTCTCTCTCAATGGCCTCTCTCCTCTTCTTCTCGTTGTCCAGTTGGGCCCTGCAGATAAGACACAGCCGCTCTAAGCCAACAAAGAGAGCTGACAGAGGTGATGCATAGTAATGGCCGACAGACGGTCGATGGGCCCGCGTATACATGAAAACAGCTACTAGAAAGGAGAGATGCGAGTGCGGGCATCAGTAACAGTGATTCATCAGAGGTTTTTCATAGAAATTAAAGCCGCAACTAACAAATGCTTCCATTATCGGTGAATCTGCCTGATATTTTCCTCAGTGGATTCAATAATTGGTCTATAAAATGGTGACAAATCCTCAATCTTTCCAAATATCAAGTTTAAATATCATTTAGTAAACAAAGCTACCAGATAGGTGACCCCTAAATACATAGTTTCCCTGTTATTATTTTCGCTTTCATTTCATTGCTCATTCATTTTATCTATTATTCATTTTGCAAAATGATGTGCCGTCATGTCTACGGTGTTCTCAGTACAGGTATTGTGTGTTATCTAACTGTGAGGAGAAGCCAAAGACAAGTTTCCACAGTGGACACACAGGTTCTTAACCCAAACTAAAAAAAAACAAAAAAAAAAACCTTTCCCGTTAGTCAGGCTGACTAATCGATTTGTAAACTAACCACAGTCTTTCTCTTCCAAAGACCTGGCTTAAATATCAAATCAATTTTATTTGTATAGCACCAAATCACAACACAAGTCATCTCAGGACACTTTACAAAGTAAGGTCTAGACCTTACTGTTATCAATATTATTACAGAGGGAAAACCCAACAAATCCCCCTTGAGCAAGCACTTGGCGACAGTGGCGAGGAAAAACTCCCTTTAACGGAAGAAACCTCCGACAGACCCCCGGCTCTTGGTGGGCGGCCTTCTGCCTCGACCGGTTGGGGTGAGTGGATAGAGGAGAGACATTACTGTACATTAATGTACAGTATTCAGTGTACATTTATATTCTTACCTTTTTACTACACATAAATAACAGGAAGGATTTTAAGTGTTTTCTGTATTTGTTGCTTATTTTACAGTTTTCTATTTTACTAATATATGCCACTGCCTATTACTGTGTATCAAATCATTCATGCAACTTTTATTCTCCCGTTTATTCAGTTTTATTAAATGTTAGCATATTTTCATCTATTTTATTTCACTTTTAAAATCCTATATGCATCTTTTTACATTGCCTTTTATTTCCTTCTTTTCTTAATGCCTTCTGTGTTAAGCACAGTACTTTGACTTGTACCATTGTTGACAGGTACTCTACAAATCAAACTCCGACTGTATTTCAGTTGTCTTCTTTCATTGCTTTTATTGCAGCAACAAACCGATATCTCCCTGAGAGTTTAATTCTAGCTCACTAAGCTTCTTAAGGGGCTCATCACAAACCATCTTGTGTATGGACACCGGCCCAGCCTCGCTCAGACACTGAATACTGAGAGCCACTGTGTGTCAACTCTAACTCTGGGGCCTGGTGATCTAATGGCTTTCCCACTGTATTTACTGTTACTTCACTATGTTTGAACAGCTGTACAGGACAGACAGTGGGAAGACAGCTGTAGCTGAGACCAGGGTCAACATCCATTCACTTTCAATTCAGCCAATTCAGGAAGTAGACTTCCCATACTTAGGGAAGAGGAATGCAGTATTATTACCCAGTGAATGGTAGTTTCACTTTACATGCTGAACTGTGTCAGTGGACTATCCCTGAGCTTAGCTGAGAATAGGAGCTGCCACTAGTAAAACTATTTTAGTCAAAAGATCAAACTATTTGAGAGAGCTCTGCTGGCCTTAATCTACTTAGAGCACTGGGTCACAGTGTCGATAGCATCACAAAACTGTATATTTAAAATGAAAAACACAAAACAAGCCTTTAAAAGTACAGGTGTCAACTGAGAATATGGAAACTTTAAACTCTTGTAAAACTGCACCATTTAGTAGATTAATCAATGAGTCAACCAACTGCAAAATAACTATTATAGAAATCAGTTAACTCACTTCTTCAGGAACTCATGTATTTAATGATGCCACCTCTGGCTCTGAGAGATTTTCAGTCTTCACAACTTTATGACATTAGGTCAAATAATCTGCAAACTAACTTAATCCAATATAATCAGTAGTTGCAGCCTTGAAATCTAATTTGGTATTTGTATTTCAAAAATTAAATGTTAAAGATGCCTCTGAACAACAGGGGGAAATCACTGTCATTCTATGACAAATGTATGCACAATATATGCAAAAATGGCATTAAATAATCAGACTGATGTTCAAAGCATAACAATGGGATGATAATTTTGATTTACTAAACAACCCATGTCAAAAGTCTATTTGTTTAGACCAGGAAAACAGCCTCAAATCATAACTTTGTATATCTGTATTTTTTTAATAGTGTAACTTTTTCTTAGGGGAGAACTTTTAAATTTCTCCCTTCCAGGGCGTCTGCGTACCTCTCCATCTGTTTCTGTTGCTTGTCCTCCCGGGCCTGGGCCTTCATCTGCTGCACCTCAATCGTGTCCGGCTTGCGACGACGCATGTACAACTCATGGTTGCCCATGCACAGCTGCAGGATGCGCTTGTTTATGCGCAGTCTCGGGGCATAAAACACAAAGTCCTGAAATTTGGAGAGGAAACATATAAAAGGACTGAGAAAGCGAGCGTAAAGTGAACAAACACCAGGCTGAACAAACCTTTTGCTGCCTGTCCATTGTGTTTCCCTGATAAAGGACCAAAGATTTCAATACTGGCTCTGAGTAGGTGCAGAAAAACTTCTGATATAGGACCGATTACTGCTAAGAACATGTATACACAGACTGCTGCACCAACAGTGAAAGGTAAAGTACCCTGTAGTACTCAGATAAGGTGTATACCACATTTTTGTGTGTGTCTGGGGTCAATCACTAATAGCACTGTGTGGAAAGTAGCCCTGGTTATTCTGCACGTCAGAAACATGATACCACCAGTAAGTAAAAAGGAAACGGAGAGCTTAAGTGCAGCTTAATGGGCTCTAAAAGGTAAATTTTCCCTAGAGAAATAGAACAACACTAAACTGAAGAAGATTGTGAAGTGTTTTTTTTTTCCTTTTATAAAAGGTGTTTTCAGATTTTAAAATGTCAGGATGAGTAAAATCTGAGCAGAGGAGTTGTTACTTACAGGAGATTTTTTGTCAATGGGCTTGATGATGAACTTCTTATCGTTGAAGGAAATGTTTCTGATCTCACTCCAGGGGAAGCCAATCTTTGGGGACAGTCTGAGGAAGTGACCACATGAACATTATTATACTGTAATGCCATCTTTGATAGACAATGAAATACCAGTGTCGTTTCTTTTAATCTATTTTGACCAAAAAAAAAAAATGTATATTATATATTCAAGAATGTTTGTTAAGGCCATTATTCCACAGTTCTTTTTAATCAAAAATGAAAATATCATTGCAGCCCTATTTACTATAGTGTTACATTTAGTTTAAGCATTATGTAGACATCAAACTACAAAAGTAAGGCATTTTGATCGATCCACTATCAGTACAAACAAGTGCTAGAATATACCAAAGTCCACGTTCACAGTTAGTCTGGGCCAACTGTATTCTGTGTTCAGGTATGAGGGATGATTCTGGGGTGTGGCTCGCTGCTCTGCCAATCTCATTCCACACAATACAAAGTAAACACTGACAAGATGACAGTAATCTAAAAAGGCAGGCCCACCTCATAGCGAAACTCTGCTGATTGTGAAACCGCACTGCCTAAACTGGAATTTCACTCACCCACTGACCCTGACACACACTGGTGGAATTGACGAAACAATGTAGACGTTATCTTGAATAGTTCTGTCACAGTTGTGTTCTGTGGAGTTATGGATTCATGTTATTAAAAATTACGGTTTATAAAAAGAAATGCTGAAAGCTTGCAGTGACCATGGTTGGTGTAGAATGTGGCTGGATTTCATTAGAAAGCCTCAGACTCTCTGTGGTAAACATTACTAATGTATGAGAGAAAAAAAAAAGTGACAAAATAAGATTCGATACCAATGACTAACTGTACCAGTATGTCAAAATAAATTAGTGAAATAGGAATTTTTCAGGTTCAGGTATTATTTTCATTATTGATTTATGTGCTGATTTTCTTGAATTCATTTAGCATCTGTTAGATATTTTCTAAAGCCAAAAGGAGACAATTTTCTGTCAGCCTACTAAACTATTAATCAAATAATTATTTCTAAAATCACAAAACACAAGTGAAACATTTTTTGAGCTCAGATGTTGTAGCTGCCTGGCTAGATAACAGCCAAGTTACAAGAACAAATTTAGGAAAACTAACAAAATTTGTATTACGAATACACCTTTCTTCAGGTGATTTAACCTGCTAAGTGTAAATCTGAGGTCTGAATGGTTGCACTGTGGGTGTGCAGTTGACTGCGGCTGAAGTAGAAACCCTGCCCTATAAGTGAGCAGTGCTGTGGTTATCGGAGCAGCGGAGCATAAGGAGTTAACCCAGCGCCAGACTGTGTCTTTGCACAGCCTCGGCTGCACTGTTGCACTGTGGGCCGGCTGCCGTCATTGGAGAGACATTGTTGTAGGTTAGACTCACATTCTTAAGTGCCGCACAGCTTGAAAAACCAGTTGGCGTAGCCATGGTTACAACAGAGGACACTGTGGAGGAGAGGCTTTTCTTTGCTGCTCTCAGGGAGCGCAGAAAGAGACAGACTCACACAAGGACCCGGCGTGCTCCTTAATAGTACGTTTCTCACCGTTGTTTGGAGGTCTCATACAATGGTTAACTTCCATTAAGGCTCAATGAGAGACTATGTGAAGTTTAACACAATAGCAGTCAATTAAATCATTTAGACTTGAAAAGAAAACCTTGTGCTCATACAAGATAAAGAATCTGCTGGTAAAAGGTTCAATTAGAGGTCTCACAGGGTAGCTGACTGATAAACTTTGTCATTATCCTACCACCAGAAAAAGTAGACCACGCCTACATAAAAGCTTTCAGTGTAGACGCTTTAACATGGGAACAGCAACTATCTGAAAGTAAACAGCACGACTCAGCCAAAGTACAGCTGGAGGGACTTCTAGCACAGACAGGGTCAGTGACTGAAAGGTAGGTCACCTGGAATGAAGTGCTCCTTTACCACAATGCACTTCACTCCAGTTAGCCCCACAGAGCGATGCCACCAGCCACAGGAGACCTCAGAACTCATTTCACCAAACAGAGGGTGATTACCTCCCAAACTGTGTCGCCCTATAAACAAAGTGGCAATCACAACCAGAATCTGCCTGGATGCTGGTAACAAATGTAGGTTTCCTCTTAAGCACAAAGCCAAGGAAAAATTCACCCAAATAGAAAAATATTTACTTTTTCTGCTTCTTTAAAACAAGAAAAGGAGATAGCGATTACACAGTAGACAGACCTGACCCAGCAAGTGTGGCTCTGTGTTACTGGTCTTGTGCTATAGCCAGCAGGTGAAAACAAATCTGTGCTCCCAAAACAAAAAGGTCTATTGCATAAACCATCTATAGTATCAAAGGCACACAAACATGTAGTGTGTGTTTCAGCTGTTGCTTTTTAACATTCAGCACTGTGTAGCACACCAATTACTGTAGGTATGAACAAAGAAAGTGACAATGATACACTCAGTCACAAATACAATTATATGTACCAGAGGCAACAACCATAAACAGTTATGTGACAAATTTGTGTCCAAAAACCTAAAAACCTCTAGATGAAAAATAATTACTTCAGCTCATGAAATCTGTCACAGCAATAAACATTTAGATCACAAAGAAACACAAGAGCTTAAAGCAAACTGCTGAATATTCCGCTCCGTCTTTGGAGATGCTTTCCCCAAAAACTGCACCCATTTGGCCTTCACCGTTATTCCCGTCATGCTGTCTGCTGAGAACCAGGAACGGTGATTAAGTACAGACATGGACCTGACCCCAACCAGTTTATCTGTGTGTCACAGAGCTGCAGCTAGAAACATGCATAAGAGCCAGAACAAACACTAACAGCAGGACTGTTCACTACAAGGGTCAGTCACATTACTACAGAACTCACTTGTCTTCCTTCTCATAAATGTTGAGTCCCAGGGCATCCACTCCCAGCCACAGCTCTGTTCCCTTCTTATTCTTGATATCAAAGTAGTTGACTCCGTACATTTCCAGGTCCTGGGCGATCTTCAGGTACTCCAGCATGGCGTCCTCCCTGCAATGATGGACAGCGCACAGGAAATGAGCATGACCACTCTATCAACAACACTGAAAAATATTGTGACCACACAATGTGTTTAAGTATTTTTAAGGTTCATTAACATACAGAAATGAGTGGCATCAAATAAAACTCACTTCAATATCCCATGATGCTCCTCATGCCACACCTGAATCCTCTCCTCCCACTGTTCTCTGGATAATTTGTGCTGCTCCAGGACTCTACAGCGAAAGAGAACAAACAACAAACATCAGCTCTTTCATCATACAATCTGAAATAATTTCCTTTGTCTGAAGTATTATGGGATCTATTTCTATAAGCTGTGTTTTGACAAAGTGGTATTTTCCCTGAGGTGAAGTTTCTTCCACTTTGTGTGTCCTAGTTTAGAATGCTGGACATTTGTCGTGTGCAAAAACACACAACAGGGGTGTGTCACTTGCAACTGAGCAGTGCTGTGGAATTTGGCGTCAAGCCTGACATATTTCTGTGCCTATTCTCTTTATGCACTGTTAAATAAGCAGGCACATTAAAAGCACAGTAACACCAGCAAGGCAGAAAAACGATTTAAAATGTAATCTTGTCAATATCACCAGCTGGTATATTGGTGTATAAAGCCGTCCCTCTTTAGTTGATGCACACACACTGTACAGCAATTTGAAGGCGACAGGTAGTCTAACAGCACAAACTCCTGTCCTCTTAAGTACATCAAACCAACTGGTTAGACTTCTTTATTCTAAATGGTTTCTTAGTTTGTACAGTGCAAATCAGGAGCAGTGTCGGCAGCAATACCAGGACACGCAGTTCACGTGAACTCATTGCATGTTCCTCACATGTGGAATGGTTTCCTCTCAGGAGAAGCATGTCCAGATTCTCCACTCCAAACTGTCAAAGCAGCACTTTTACAGGGGTGAATGGAGCCGACAGGATTGGACATGATTGTCACCAAGCGGCAACCTCCAAGGCCAAGAAAGGAAGCCAGTGCAGAAGTGTTAAAATGGCCACTTGAGGCTAGTTCCAAAAGGGAGTAAATCCCAGCGTTAAAACGGCCAAGATTACAACAGAAGTAAACATGTTTACTTTAACACACTCACTGCTGAATGTTTGCAGTTCACGGCTCCCACGGCGCATATATTCTCTACATTATATTGGGTTCTTCTTGTATTTTTACTGTGCTTCTTTCACTTGCTGCTTTAAAGGTGCCTTAGATTAGTGTCACTGCCTATTTAGATTTGTGTTATTGCTCATCTACTTTATATTTCACTTGTATTGTGTGGCATTCATGTGGACGGCAAAGTAAGAATTTCATTGTACAGGGAAACACGTTTCCTAACTGTGCATATGACAAACACTTTGACCTTGGTACAAATAAAGTTTCTGGTCTCTTTAGCTAATTTCCCCTTCTATGACAACTGTATGGGAGGTGAGTTTTTATACAACTCCCCCTTTTAAATTATAATGAGGCTAAAAGTTATGCATAATTAAGGGTGCGGCATCTTTGAGTGACAGGCAGGGGGGGCAAAGGGATTTAATCTGAATAGATGGCATGTACAAATGATTTTTCTTTGGCTCATAGTAATTATGTTTGTTACATAAACTTCATCCACCTCTTTGGGTTCTTTTGCTTCAAGGGTTTTCTTTGCAGCAGGTCCAACCAGTGTGTGGAGCACCTACATTGCTCACCGATATAGTTTTGTACTTCCTTCTTCCTCCCAAAATTTCCATAAATATTATTTTATGACTAGCAGCTTCAGTCTAATAAACCACGTGCATTACTACATAACATTTTCCTTTTGTTCTAGACCTCAGTTCATAAACAAAGTTTGAAAAGCACATCTCACCTGCGTGGCAGAAGGTGTTCAGACAGCAGGTACCCAGGTCGATGAATTTCTTTGTTGTAGTCTCCAAACTTGGCCTGAACGGAGTAGGAGGCCAGCAGCACAGCCGTCTCTGGTGGACAGTAGACCGCGTCCGTCAGGATGCTCTCCTTCACTTGCAGGAAGAAGAGCTTCTGGGTGATTTCCTGGATCAGCTCCTCTGACACATCCTCTGGGAAGAATTTGGCCCGAAACTTAAACTGCAGCGGGTTCTCTTTCTTGACATCCTGGGCTGACACCTGGATAGGAATTCAAAAATAGTTAAAGTGTCATCTGAGAATTACGGGAATAGATCGACATTTTGAGAAATATCCTTATTCACTTTTTTGCCAAGAGTTAGATCAGCAGCTCAAGACCTCTCTTTCTGCACGGTAATTGTGCGTCTCCATCCAGTAGCAGGTTAGCTTAGCTTAGGAAAAAAAAAAGAGACTGGGAAGCAGCTACTGTGACTGTCCAAAAGTAAGAAAATTCCCCTAAATCTCTAAAGCGCACAAATTAACATGCAGTGGCTTCTTGAACTCTCAGTTGCTTGACACTTATTCCCATCGAATAGAGCCTGGCTAGAGCCGTTCCCCCATTTCCAGCCTTTATGCTAAGCTGAGCTACATGTAACCAGCTACTGGTTATACTGTAGCAATTAGTTTACCATCACCTTGACTTCTCATCTAACTCCTGGATAAAAAGTGAATAAGAATATTTCCCAGAGCTACTGTCAGATTTTTTTCCCTTTAATGTCAAAATAATAAGCTGGTTACAAAGCTGGGTTTTATCAACTGTATTTGGAATTTAAATCAAGACTTTTCTCAGATTTGAGTCAAAATCATTTAGCAGTAAATAGAATTACTCATGTAAAAGGTGCAAATAATGTCCTCTCGTTAAACCCGTGTTTTATATTACTGGCTATAAAAGAATCGCAGGCAGGAAAAATATGAAGGTCAGTGTTTTACAGTTGGAAACGCCAACTTTGGCAAATATGTGGGTGCCCTGCTCTTTCCAAAAAAAGGAATCTTGCATTCTCATTTAGTAGAAACATACTTTAATAACTCCCAGATACAGTATGTTTTACACAATGTGGCTCTTCCTCTAATTTCAAAACAGGAACCAAAATCGGTCTTGATGGAGAGAATGGGGCTGTGCACAGTCAGGAATTTTCCAGTTTCAGGTTTGCATTGCAATGATGAGCTGCAGTGCAGTGTCAGCACACACTGTACAGTTTACTGCTGCTGACTGACGCAAGTGTGACCCCTCCTAATCTCTGTGATGCTTTTTTATGATAATAAAATGCAAACGGGCACCTTTTCTGTAAATAGATCAGCCTGGTTTCCTACATTCATTTCAGTCACAAAGGCATTCGTCAGAAAATCTATTCAATCCCATTAGACAGATACAGTCTCAGTCTATTCACGGTATGTTTTACAGTTTGTGGTGCATTTTAAAGAGTACTCCACCAATGCAGTGCTGCCCTCCTGCAACTAAGAACCTTTTATATGGGGCAAAGCCAGATATTTAGTCTTTTTTATGCCACTCATCCTCCTTCTTTGCCAAAACCTGGCACATACAATGACTCAACCATTGACAGTTCAGTCAGAGGTTTTATTTTGTTATACTAATGGAGCCTTGAGTGGCCACAGAGGCCTGGTAAACTCCACACCCCCAGATATTTTTACTTTTCAGACTTGTAATCTTCAGCCCTTGACTCAACTGACATCATTCGAGGTAACTTATCAGACTTCACACCTGGAAACATAAAAGGAGTTATACATTGACCGACTGACCTCCTACATATGAAGCAGCACTCTCCAAGACTTGTAAACATACTCTGATATGTAAACTTTAATGCATTATTAGTGCAAAACCAACAGCACTAAAAAACTGCGGCGGTTGATAGACCAGAGCTTTGATAATAAACCAATCTTGAAAATATGAAATTCTGCTTATACTGTTACTTTATATTCTTCTCACTCGCTGCTTTGCTTTTTACACAACAATAGTTTTAACAAGCTAGATCATGAAACAGCTAGCCGAGTCCAGGTAATGTGTGTTTGTTCAGGCAAACCACTGACCAACAGAAGCGGTTATATTTCACAAAACATTCACACTCTTATCAAATGATCCAGCTCCATCTGATCATACACAATGCACTGACGCCGAGCGCAGACAGAAACCAGAGAGGGCTTCAATTAGCTGCCATTTGAGAAGCAAAACAACAATGCAGTACAAAGCAAACCGATGCACTGACTGTACCCATCACCTCAAATTAATGCATTCTTTTTCTATTACTCCATAGGGCAAGGTGGTGGAAACGCTGGGCAGTTAACTGAGACAGTCGAGGAAATGATAATGTAAATACAGTGCCTTGCAAAAGTATTCATACCCCTTGAACTTTTCCACATTTTGTCACGTTACAACCACAAACTTCAATGTATTTTATTGGGATTTTGTGTGATAGACCAACACAAAGTATTGCATAATTGTGAAGTGGAAGGAAAATGATATGTGGTGTTCAAGTTTTTTTTTTTTACAAATAAAAATCTGAAAAGTGTGGTGTGCATATGTATTCAGCCTCCCTGAGTCAATACTTTTACTGCTCACCACATATCATTTTCCTTCCACTTCACAATTATGCGATTCTTTGTGTTGATCTATCACACAAAATCCCAATAAAATACATTTATCTTTTGCAAGGCACTGTATGTGAGTATTAGGAAACATGATATATAATGGTTGTGGAATTTCTATTAAAAAGGGAAATAATGAACTCAACTTTAAAACCAAACTCAGACTGTTGAGTAACTGTTCAATGACCTGCTTCAAAGTATAACAGTGTGTATTCTAATTCTTCACATTATCTAAAGTTATCACCTATGACTGATTCATGATGAAGTATTTCACTATACACACACTGGAAATGTTTTTTCTGACCCTAGTGAGCTAATAACCTTAGTAATTTGAGGATTTAAAAGACAGGATAATTATTATGAGTCAAAACCAAAGAAAAAATGTTTTTCAAGCTGGGTCTTACCTTTTTGTCCAGTTTTAGCCACGTATAATAACCTTTGCCATCCATATACTGGAGTCCAAAATACCAGACCTCACGTAAGCCGACGGTTTTCACCACCTGCAAAAAGACAAGCAAAGTCTTAAAACTCTGCAGAATTGCAACAAACCTTTGTTTTCATTATCGGTTAATCTACTGTTAGGGTTTTTGATTAATCAATTCTTTTTTGTTCTCAAAAATGCCAATCAGAACTTCCCACAGCCCAACATGATGTCTTCAAATACCGTGTTTCCTATGATCAAAAATCCAAAAGTTATCCGTGTTACTATGTTATATGACAAAGCCAGGCATCAAGTCCTCACATTTGAGAAGCAGAATGTTTTTTCACAGTTTTTTTTTTGTTGGGAGATACAACTGAAATGGCACATTAATTCATTATCAAAATAGTCATTGTTTCTGCTCTAAAAGACAGTGGGGGAAAACACAGGACCTTAGTACCAGTTTTCCACATCACCTGGATACAAATGTAAATTATAAAGGTTGTTCAACACTGACCAGAAAAATGGTTTTCCATTAACTTCTTTTTAGACTAGAGACAACACTGCATATAAAAATGATGCTTTGCTGACTGTTGCAATATACGAAAGCACACATGAAGGTTGGTCTCAAGCAAAGTGGTCCTATTGTTTGACCAGTGAGGAGGACTGATGATGTATAATGAGGACATGCTGCATGACTAGCATCATGTCTCTGACTCTGGGAACAGAATGAGAAGGCAGCTCTATCTTGCAAGGCCTGTTTTACTTTCTGGCAATGCTGCAAGAGCCAGAACTCCTCTGTTATTAATGACCAAAAGGCAAATTATGAACCTAGTTTTATTTCAAGCGCACTGAAACAATTAAAAGAAAATTGTCAGATCAGCATTCGGAAGATCCCCCCCACCCCAACCAATTTTGGACTGCGCAGCTGAGGTGGAAAGTTGCAGATCTGGAATAATCACTTGTGCTGTAGGAGGAGCTGCCATTTTCCAGTGGCTTCTAACCTCAACAACCAGAGGCTCTTTATGGCCTTCTAAGAGGCTGAGCAATTTTCCAGCAGCACTAGGTAGGAATTCATGTTATTTGTGTTTATGTGTGCATGCCGTTACACTGCAAAATCTGTGCTGGTCCTTTTATGAATGAACAACTGCCAAACTCCCCACCCTGTCTCCCGGTGAGGTGCCAAGTTGCCTGGGTGAGTCAACAAACTGGCGCTCCAGCAACGCACATTCCCAACAGTAATCTCCAGCCAAAGTTGAAATAAAAATCTAATTCCCTGCTCTAGCAGTGGTGGATGTAAAAAATAAGGTAGCCAGACCAGTGGAAGCAAAAAGGTGAACAGCTTTTCTGATGAACTGCATTTAAAGCAGCAGCAACAACGACAACAACAACACCACCAACTACTGCTGGAAACGACCTGAAACGAGAGAGTACATCAGGCTGCATCTCACCTGTAATGAAACTCACAGGGCCTCTGAAAACAATCAGCCCTTTCATGGTGCTTTTTGCTTTGGGGTGTGCACAGTGAGATACAAAGAAAGAGAGTGGGCCAAAGATCCCTAAATGAATGATTGCATTTCTCAGAGGATAAGAGGACTGCCATTTTCCTGGGAAAGCTTATCAAAGTTTAACAACATCGTACTTCACATGACAAACAGATAAACTAGCTTGAGTAACATGCTCTACAATACATACTATGAACCCCTGCTGGCAAAGGAGACTGAACGTAACACAGTTCATTAGAGGAGGATTAAATGTGAATCTGAGCACAGGTTCAGTGAACTAATATCAGAGCAGGCTGGTTGCATGGTCAAGCAGTGCCAAGTATAAAACATACATAATTACTGAACATGAACTTTTGACAAAATGGATTGTGATGTCACCGTCTTTGGCGGGCAAGAGAAAATATTTAGGACTTTTGTAAATTTAATGCAAGGATTTTCTTGGAAACTGAATGCAAGATCTGCAGGTACTGATCACTTGCTTGCAAAATGTCCTTGTGACTTCATGCAGCCTTGGAAGACAAATCTGTACCTGCATTGGTATCAGTGGTGAGTTTTTAAATTCCATGAGTATAATTATAAATTGCAAAGACCCAACTCCTCAAGAGCTCCTTTTTATAAGCTGAAGCACATGTGTTTTTTGTTCTGACAATAATTTAAAAACTTAAGTCTATGAAACATTTGCAGTCAAATCAATAAATCTTTACAGGGTCTCAGTCACCAGCCGCTTCAGATTTATTTTAGGTTGAAGGAGCAAACATTGCAGTGTCACAAAGGAAGAGTTACCGTGACTTAGGCCTGCAGCCTCGTCTTACAGCCATCTGTCAGAGAGCATAAGGCTCTCCTCTTGGTTTATGAGAGCTCAGGCCCTGTGGTGAGAGACAGCATTACTCACTGCATCCTCTGGGTTGAATAATGCAGAGTCCTCCAGTGACCAAGGAGGGGAAAGGAGGGGTTTACGCAGTCGGGCCCAAAACAGAGGCTGACAAAGATGAAGGAGTGTGTTCCAAAGTGGGGGGCAGTGGATACTGGCCCTAAAGAAACTGGTCTATTACTGCCAAATCTCACTTTCACTGTGAGTGAATCAAATAGAATGTTACAGTCACTATATAAACTACTGCATTCCTCCAGATATGGAACAAAGAACATATCAAACTACAACTGTCTATAATGCACAGACACACTAAGGGTGTGCTTCAGTTTTCAGCTCATATGAGAGTGGGGGGTTCATTATGACCCCACTGCAGTGCCGCAAAGTGGAAAAAAAAAAATCAAAAGTACTTTACCACATGAAATAAAGAGATAAAGTAGAGCATCCTTTGACATAAAAGCCATATGTGAAAGCAGTAAAGGTCCGAGAGCTCCAGAGTCACTGTAGTATGAACAGAAGGAGGACCGAAGCCCCAGAGCTGAAGTGGACCAGAAAGAGAACGGAGTCCTCTTTCGAATGTACTCACAGTGTGAACACAGTAAGAAGTGTTAGAAATTAACCTGATTCTTTTGTTGGAAGCACGAGAAGTGAGGACAGGAGAGGACTGTTTAAAATCAACAAAAAGTTTACTGAATGTCTGATCACAGGTAGGCCTTACAGCGCTGGGATCAGAGAGATAGAGCTCCTGCAGGAGTTCCTTCCACTGACCCCGAATTAAGTTCTTACAATACACTTCATCTTCTTGGGCTGCTCCGCCCTGGACAGGGGTGCAACCTTCAGTAGTTTGTGATCCTATAGGTCATTTGGTGTGAGCTGGAGCTCGCACTTCCATGTTGAAATATGGTAAATCTAGCTGTGTGTGTGTGTGCACACGTCTCCAGCACCCAGACCTTGATCTCGAGGTGCACTGATCAAAGGGTGGCCTAAGTTTCAGGCCCCCTGTGTGTGTGATACTAATAAGTGTGTTAAACTGGCTAGGTGGTCATCTCAGGTTATAGCCCCCGGCCTCTGCAGGACATCCCAAGACAAAGCAAAGCTTGGGATATGCTAAGTGGGTCGAGGTGTGTGTAAAACAGGCCTTTGCTAAAGTGTGAATAGGCTGTCTGGTCATAAAGAGATGCAGACAAAGTCTCTACACAGAACTTACAGCATTCAAAGTGGACAGATTCTACTTGATTCTCATCAATACAATTGTAAGATATATAAGCAAGGAAAATAAATGTATTAAGAATAACCAAAGCTCAGTAGTTCTGGACAATCATCAATACAGCTGTAATATGTATAGAGAAGGAAAATAAAGTTATGAAAAGTAACTAAAGGGAACTACAGGTATGAGAAGTAACTAAAGCTTATAAAGTAACTAGAGTCTATAAGACTCAAATCTTACAGAAGCAAGTCCCTTTTTTGTTGTCCCCTTTTTGGTGCACTTTAAAGGAGGACAGAGTTTGGTTCATTTAAAAAGGAACCAAGTGTAAAAAACCCCTTAAATGTTGCAATGATTAACATTAAACCACCTCCTGCTTTTTAACCAATCTAAATCAGAGCTGAAACTGAAAGCCTACTAAAATCATACCAAAGATATAGAATTTGAACATGGTCAACACACTGAGGACCAATATATCCAATCAGTACATCTACTGTAAACCATGACGGCTCAAGGAAAAATTGAACAAGCAGGAACACACAGTCATGGAAGTGAAACTGTACAAGGGTGTGTAGGGGTGTGGCAGTCATTCCTCTTTAAGAGGCATGACGAGGGCTAAGGCTATGATCAGCGCTGACCACACAGACCACACCAGGACTCACACTCGGCACTTCCCCAGAACCTGTCGAACACATCGTAACTGTGTGCATCTCTGCAGCTGATGTAAGACAGAAGCACCCATTTAAAATTAAATCAGGCTGCTGACAAGACTTCTCGGACACAGGCAGCTAAACCCCAGCAATATTCATCTCCAGCCACTGTGAACAGTGGCTCAGACTTCAGAGAAGGTGTGAAGTTTTGTAGACAGTTTTGCCATGTTCACATTAGTAAGTTGTACCCTTGTGCTAAAAGAGAACACTGAACTATCTCGGACACCATCACCGAGAGCGAGTGATAATCTGTGGCACTCCACACTGAAAGCCATTCTAACAAGTAGGCAGAGGAATTCACCAACACCTATAAATAGGGAGATGTCACAGCCAAAAAGTCATTCCTTCCATTAACAAAACCATAAAAAGAAAGTTTAGGAACAGTAGCCCTGCTGCTAAAAAATACAAGTGTCATATATTCTGACTTGGTCACAACTAGCTAAACAAGCAGTGAAACAGCAATACTAGTCTCTTATTATGACTCCTATTGTAGCTGTTTTTAGGGATAATGTTTAAAGTGATCATAGTATTAAAAATCTTTGACTAAAATGGCATCTACGTTACTGCTGACATGAAATGTGAATCCCTTGACATGCAGCCACAAGACACAGTCGATTACACTTGCTACTGAAAAACGAGTTATACAGGAAGTTAAAAGTATGCATTTCCTCCCCCAGTGCTGTCATACCGACCAGCTTTCACAACATTACGTGGAAAAGTGCAAATAAAAGGAAATTCCTCATTTAAGAAGACTGCATGTGACCATTGGGGGTGTGTGATATTGTCTACAATAATATCTTGATTTTTTTAAATGATATGTAAGCTGACATTAGAGCATGTCACTTACTGTACTTTAAAAGAAATAAAAAAAAAATCACTATGTACTTTGAAAAGGCAAATGTTGCTCAAAAGACAAAAATCTGCAAACTATGCCAGAAATTGGTTGCCGTTAAAGACAACTCTACGCTTGTTTCACCATCTGTGGACTAACAGACTGAGAGCAGCTTCAGGAGCCAGTTGTCCATGATAGGACTAAACCAGCCAAGGTACCAGCACACAAACACACTCGGCAAACTTGAGCTGAATCATTCTGCTAAAGTGATTTCAAGGTTTTCACACTGCTGTACTGGAATGGTTACGTTTTAAGTAAATATCTGACCCGTTTTCCTTAAATGTTGTTTCCATTAATATCTCTAGTAAGCATTAATTCAAATGCTATTAAGAAAGTGAGTTAGTATAAGATTTTTATCAGACATTTATGAAGGATACAAAATACTGTGTGCTTATCATTATCAACAAAAACTCAGAAAACATCTAGATATTTTTTGCCAATATCACACACTCTTAGTGACCACTACTGGGAACTTCAGGGGTTAATAATAAAAAACTATGCCATATATGTCTAGTTGTAACCACAGCCACTGTGCACGAACATTAATACATTAACTTTAACATTCAATACACACCTGATGAAAGAGCAAAGAACAATTTAAGGTCAAATGATATATTCATCTAGGTTTTTAATTTACTATAAACAATACAACTTTTTTTTTTAAATAATCATATATAATTGGCAACATAGGGACATGGAGATCGCTTACAATTATCATGCCAGTAATTGTTCAGTACATACATTATCTTAAAGCCAATGTAAAATAAAGTGACCAGACTACAGAGCTACAATTACTGTGGCCACACCTTTCACTCTGTAACATCCTCAAAGACTTCATTCATCATTTTGAAATCCCTAAAGCCATTAAGCATGTTTTAAAAAAGGCCTCAAGCTCCAATTGGTCACAAAAGTTAAGCTGTCTTTTTTTACTAGGAGGAAACCATTTAAATACATATATTTATAGTCCCAGAACTTCACCAGGAAGACAGAGACTGATAAAGACTCTTAAGGCCAAAAGCTCCCATAATCTCATCTGTAGCTGATAACATTTCAGAGCAGGATGTGAATGGACAGAGCTTTGGAGAGATGATAATGAGGGCAGACACTTTCTCCTAACACAGATCTATCTCAGTGATGTCAATCCAGTTGACCGACATGAAGGCATAGGCTGCAGCAATTTTAGCAGCTTGTACTAAACAGTATAGCAGGCCAGGTTGTTCTTAAAACATGTTGGCTCACATTAAAAAAAAAAAGGCAATAGCTCTATATTAATGGGAAACATCTATATGGATGAAGCCCATAGCTACTTATCTTAGCATAAAGACTAGAAATCAGCAGAGAACAGCTAGCCTGGATTGATTCTGACAACATATTTATAGGCTATCATTGATGCTGCAGGTCAATACAGACCAGATATCCACTGTACCTGGTCAAACAGCTGCTTGCCGGTGGTGCTGGGCTGGATGGCAAACTCCAGCTCAGCATCCATGGTGGTGACGCGAACATTGACCTGTGGAAAGACATGAGAATAAAAGAGTTCAAAAGCTAACCCAGAACAGAGAGATCCTCATAGGTAAGGACCAATATATGGCACAGGATGCCAAACTACTGCAGAGCACTGTTTTTGTGTGTGCCTGGTAGGGGGTGTACAGTATTTACAGAGTAAACACACAAGGTTTTGTGTTCATCTCTGCCTTCTCAGAGACAAACGGCTGACTGAAAGGAATTCAGTGACAAAATATTTGCTTCATATTCAAAGATACCAATCTAAATGACTGATTCAAGAAACAAAAGTAAAGGAAATAGTTCCCCTATAAACAATAAAAGGCATTTCACACAGTACTTTTACAAGCTTATAAGAGCCACTATTCATGCTATTGTAGACTGAAACTGAGGGAAGGAGGCGGCTTCAGTCACTTGCACCCATTCATAGAAGAAAAGCATGTCATTCAGTTTTCTGGTTAATGGTTGATCAGAATGACCTGTGCATACAAAAAGAGGAGGTCCTTCTATCTGAAACATGCTTTATGGACAGAGAACTTAATGTCCACTTACAGGGATCCACCCCAGTAATTAATGTGCAATTTCAAACCCATTACAAATAGTATGACTAGCGTGTTACACAGTATAATAAGAGCTGACGTCAACCGTGTCTCATAATGGGGAGAAACAATATTCTGTATTGTAGGTTTAGTCTGTAATCAGTAAATGGCATCTGAATTTCACACAAAGGCCATGCAACAATGCACAAATATTTACAATAGCTGCTTTGAGGTAAGGCACACAGTGAACCTCTTTTCTGTGGTATAATGTCAAATGTCTGGAATTTGTGGGAACTTACTAAAAGACACAGACACTCCAGGTACAGTACTGACTGAACTACTTAATGCGCAGCGAAAGCAATACAAAGAGGTTGGCGGACACAGAATGAAGAGTGGGAAAGGCTGTTAACAGAAACCTCCAGTGACATCTTTTCAACCTTGAAAGCAGTCAGGCATAGCACATAAATGTTATGGCAGCGCCTAAGCTGAACGAGTGTAAAAAAAAAAGTGACATATCAGAATGGAAGTTAAAACAACAGTGAGTTATATGTGCTGAAAAATAACAGAGATGTGACTTGATCTCAAAATGAAAATGTAAGCTGGCAATAGGAACGACCTGTTAATTAATAAATCAGTTTTTGGATGTGATTGGCAGTATCGCCAAGATAATCCAACAGCTGATATTTTGCTGTACTGTCAACTAACACAGCCAACCTTATCAATGGCTGCAGTCCTGGGTAGTTAAGAGTCATCGATAAGGTTAGCCTTATAACTTTGCTTCTGAATGTAGCCTATTTTACTGTACAAGTAAAGACATTTCTAATGTAGCTAACACGTACTGAAGTAGCTAAGTTAAATTGGCCAAGGAAGCTAGTTAGTTGACTGTACATAAATAATTTTATAAAATATATGTATCCTTTGATGCCCCCCCAAAAAAGCACCTAAACTGTCTGAAAACCTAAGCAAACCCTGCAGGTGGAGTCTTGGCAGTGAACACATTCAATGACACACATTGGAAAAGGGAAGTCTGGGCTGCAGTAGTGACTAGTCTAATTACTCAAAGCTCCACCAGTTCCTATGAAGGTACAGATGCTGAGCAACTAATTGACATGAGTTAAATCCTACAGAGACAGCAAATCCAATCACAGCACTGGATGGAAAGCACCTCACCACTGTGCTGTCCAGGATACTGTAAGAATAGAGCAGTCTAAACAGTGGATATTCAGGGATGTCCCATTTCTTTAATCAATGTGCATGCCATTTTCATGTGGGGCCAAAAGAGGTGACTCACTAAAACCCTTGATCAGTACAGTACCGATCAGATCAGTACAGTAATGTACAGTTAACTTTTATTTTACCAACAAAATCAGAATGACACATTCTGAGCCACATGTGCATCCGATTTAAAACTCTACTGTCCAACAAAGCCCCTTTTACCAGCTTCAAGTCACAGTGAGAAAGTAGGGGAAGGAGGAGAAACACTGCATTTACTTTGCCCAGCAAATCAAAGCTTTCCTTTCAGCTGCAGCGCCTCTACATCCCAGTGGTTCCTGATTACCAGAGCAAACACAAAATTGTGGCAGAAGATCAGAAACTGCTCTAAGAAGTGACATTTTGAGATTTTCCTTGTTTTAAAGTGATTGTGAGTTAGCTGTAGACGATCTGACAGATTTTCTTCTATCAACACTGCTGTCCATATTTACAGTGGTTACAGACAAGGCACCTACAAAACCACACCTTAACCAGCAGAGAATGGAATATGTGAATGTGTGGAGCAGACAAGCCAACAGAAACTACTGAGTAAGTGATATCGGATCGCAAAGTGAAACCCTTCAATGGTAACTTGCAATAAACTGAGGCCATTCACAGCAGTAAAGAAAACATGACACATATGCTAAAAATATACCAGGCAAGGACCCAGAGTTCCACAATGAGCAACTTTAGTCAAAGGAAAATACAGCCGTTCATATTAACCATATAAATCCCAGCTTCATGAGTCATTCCAGTAATAACAGGTTCAGTTATTTCAGCTAGCGGAGCATTGGTTGCTATGTCTAACCTGGTACAATTACAGAAAGCATGTAGACATTTTCACACTCTTGGTGGAAGGTACAAAGCTTTGGTAACCAAAAACCAATAACAAGTAACATGAGCTCTATGGTAACAAAGGAGAAATAGAATACGTAGATTACTGTACTGACGAACAAAAATGTACTTAATTTAGTAAGTGCACATGTGGGATTTCTTGGTTCTTTCATGGTGACAACTTAGTTTGAAATATTTTGTTACATAAAATTATGTGAAGACACAAGAAAGAAAAAGTTGTTTCAGTGGGAAGGTTAATGACCTGCTCTGGGTCGATTTAAAGTCAAATGATGTGGTCAGCACCTCAGCAGTTAAACTGTGCATAGGTTGCACTGCATTCATCAGTGAAGCTCGCTCCAAAGTGGGGATCCCACTGAAAGTGGTCTGGGAGCAACAGAGCCATAAATGTACTATTGCTCTTCATGGTAGCATTCAACAGGGATGGAGAGATCATTAAGGCTTTAGGAGGTGATATATTTTCACAGGCTCTGTCAACACTAAACACATGCAACTAAAGAACGACAATTAAAGGACCTGTGACTTTTTGGGAGATTTGTGATTTGGGACTGAAGGGTGTTCCAGGCATAGCAGAGTTATCAATTATTTAAAGGAACAAATAGTAACAATGGGACTGGACATAAAAAGAAAACACCCATCCATGTTGCTCATGGTCACACCTTGTATGTGTCACAGGGCTGTGACCGCATAGAAACAGGATTATGGGACAACCAAGGTGCACTATCCTTACTTCAGATAATGTGTCATTCAGATAACTGAAACACGAATCATAGAGGCACCGGTACAGGAGCCTTCACTACTCCTTAAATCTGGCCCAACTTCTTGCCACAGAGCATCTTGGTCCAGTAGCATCAAATTCAAAGCAAATGTGCTAGTCTTCTTTGGTCTAAATTTACTTTCCAAATAAATTCATAAACTTGTTCATAACTTTAGATTGTTATGACTGTTCAAGCTCAGTTGACCGCCTTTAAAAGGTGTTATGGCCCTATAATTTGGATTATTATTGGAGTATTACAAGGGGAATTTTTGCCCTGTATTAAATAACTGTACTGTATAACTGTATAAACTGGACCCATCACAGTAGGGACTGATGAAATTAAAAATGACACTCTTCTAACCAGTAATCTAATGTGGAATAAAAAAACAGAAACCCTTATTTGTTTCACAAAGGCTGAATGTGACACTTATGCAGGATTAAGGTTTCTGGTAAAAACAGCGTCAAATGAACAACTTCATTAAGACAGACAGTGACCCATTGATATTTTTCATGCCGTGTTGTAAAGAATGGGGCTGTCATGAAGCCACATACTGAACAGTCAGTGGAGCAAATGCTAAAATTTAAAATGAAGGCTGAGGCAATCGGTTTGACATTATCATCCAAAATGGCTGTTTTGTGGCAACAGGGCTGCTGCTATCAGACAGTAATGATGTCATTTCCAAAGTGACGCTCATGACAATCCTGAGGCTACTCTAAACAAAATGACAACACACTATGATCCTGTCCGGGGCTTTAATCATCAGAATGTGCTGCTCTGTTCAACAGCAACCTGCCTCTGTCGTGATCTGAGCAGGATCTGGTAGTATGCCTGACTCTGTTTTTGTCTTTTTACCAAGATCTTTCCAATCTTTCTGTTTGACATGCGTTACTTATCAAACTTCAGTAACTGTATGTTTTATGCATCTCTGGACTCTCCATCTTTCAATCAAGGACAGAGAAAACCTTTATTCACCATTTAAACAAATGGAAAAATGTTCACCCTGTTTCCATCTCTTTTTCTTTAATACTGAATACATGCATGCATGCATAGGCTGTTGTACTGAAATTTCCAAACAGTGTGACTGAGGGAGGGACTGTACAGTATGTAATACCTGAGGTGGGGCACAGTGAGTCAAGAGCAAGTGAAGGAAAAACCTGTTCACATGAAAAAGACTCCATAAAAATGTTTCTTCTTTTGTTTGGCTTTTCTGATGATGAAAAGTCACTCATCCCGTAAATACATGTTTTGCATTTATACCAAGTCTCCAAAGTGAAGGGAGCAACTATAAATTTCAGCCTTGAAAACAACCTCCAAAGACTAAGAGGGGAACCTGTATTCATCACAAACAGCCAAAGATATAAACAAGACATTTTTCCCTCCCTTGTTCATGATCTAACACCAGTAGCACAGAGAATGATTTGGAAGATATGAATGCTATGATTATGTCCACTTACACATTGAAGACATTATAAATCAAACACTGCTTATATGCTTCAAGAAATAAAGTGTGACCATGTTCCTAGCTCTGGAGCACGGTGCATGATGTTCTCATACATATGGTGAAGCCCCAGATGAGATTTGTGATTTGGGTGGCATTGCCCTTTAACACAGACCTTACTGATAGTGTAAGACTCTGACACAACTACAAAAAAAGAGCATTGTTCTGTTTGTGATTCAGTCTATAAAAGGTAGTTTTGTTTGTGAACTGATATCATCACTTTTAACACTGGCCATCAATCACTTGGTCAATAAAGAAGTGATTTAAGAGTCTCTCCAAAAATAGCAAGAAGTCATGCCATTTTATAGCCAAACATAAATCAACTCTCAGACCTCAATAAATCCTCTTTGAATCAAAGACTTTACAAGATTTTGCTCAGTTATTACATTTTACACTAAATATAGTCCTCTTGCCAACTCCTAGAATAAGCAAGTTAATGGTATGCTAATGTTACTGATCACTTATTTGACAGTGTACCAAAACATTCATACTCTAACTTGAATGTAACCTTATGTTGTATTATTGTTAAAATAATAATAATAATAGATAACCCATGCTTAAACACAAATGTGTTTCGTATTTAGGGCGTTCCTTCGTCTCTTGACATTGCCTGTCATCTTTTAGTTAAGTCTGACGAACTATAAAGCACAGGTAACGTTACAGCAAACACTGACTGAAAACACTAAAAAAAATAAAGGGCTACTCACCGCCTTGGGCATTTTTCTGCTTTATTCGTGTCTCTATACGAGGAGCTGTTTAGTAAAATGCGTTTCCAAAGAAGAGCCCTGTGTCCGTGGCTTCCTGAAAGCAGAGAAAGAGGAGAAACAAGTTTGAGTCACTTCTACGCTACTTAAAGCCGACTGAGAGTAACTCGGCACTCCTGTACACGACCGTCATGATTAGGATGAATCACCGACAAACTCCACAAGCTAAAAACTGCTAGCTAGCATAGCACAGGAAGTTAGCCAGGTTGACCTTCAAAATAAGAGCGTGAGTCTGGTCAATTTTGATAACTTAGGGTTTCTTGTCACAATTTTACCTGCCCCTTTCCTAACTCATTAGGGTTTTCCTTTGGGCCCAAATTATGCTTCCTACTGTATGCAGAAAGAAGAGAAAGAGGGTATGTGTTCTGTTATTGGCACGCAAGTATTCAAATGCTGCATGATGGGAAAATCCACTAAACTCATCCCTTAGCAGATGGTTAAAAGGACTTAAGCTTTTTCTATGCAATGTTACTTCTATACAGACTGGATGACAAATTTAAAAAAAAAATAGCATCAAGTGTCTTAGGATGGCGTTAGGCTGCCAAATGACAATTGTGCTTGTTGCTCTTATGACACATACATTCAAAAGAGAAATAAATACAATGTCTAAAAACTTTCAACCAACTCAGCCATTTTGAATTTTAATTCAAAAATAATCAACCTACTTAAACTGCACTAATTTATGGCTCTGTCAGAAGCACCATTATAACTAAAAACTAGGACTATGCCAAACATTTATCTGCAATATCTGTGTTTCAGTACCACTTTACCTGTCATTAGTTTCTTTCAATTATTTATTTTGCCTATAAATTGTCTGACAATAATGAAAAGGCCAATCACAAGGAAATATCTTAATTTGGTCCTTTTTTTCCTGACCAACCACCCAAAAATCAAAAACACGGACCTTACACTTGGACTATATAAAACAGAGAAAGTCAATGCATCCTCACATTTAAGAAGCTGGAACCAAAAAACAGGTCAGGACTCTGTTTTTGCTTGATATCATCTGACATCAAGGCTGCATCATTTCTTTTCAGAATAAATGTCTCATATTTGTGGTTTCGTTTGTGGAAATTTAGTTTATAAAATATCAGAAAATAGCCTAGTGAAAATTTCAGGGCACAGTTTTCCAGAGCCCAAGGAGGTCTCCTCAAAACTGAGAAGATGGAACCTGAAAATATTTAATATTTGCACTTCTAATATAATCAATTTCCTGTTAAGTAAGTAATCATTTAATAGCTTTTGATGCAGTACTGCAACCAACCTTAGTGTCTTACCATTAGTATGAAGCTAAGATAATGTAATAATACCCAAGGGCCTATTATACATCTTTGCAACGAAACAAATAGCTCATAATGGTGCAGCCAACGACCCAGCCCTTTTGCAGTTCCTTATTAGTAACTTTTATTATGAAATTCGACGCAGGAAACCCTACATTTTTATTCTATGTTGACACTGTTGAATCATCAAGGCAGCAGGCGGGTTATGGTACTCAGTGCGCCTCACCCACCAGATATGATAAAGTTATCATCACCACCCTTTCTTTGTTTTAGCCTTTTATTTTGACGCCTTGATTTGCTAACAAACACACACCCCAATTCAGATTAACGGAAGCCATTTACTCCCGTATTTGCCTATTGCTCAATAAAGTCGCTTTTAGAACCACAAAAAGACTCATTATAATACAGATAAACATCAATGGCCAGGGGCAACTGCGACCTTATGATGCTACAGTGCAAGGAAATGTAAAGTGATGATTCGAGGAATATTTCTCTTTGGGAAAGTTGTGGTGAACTGAGTACACACCCACAGCGACGTGAAAATGATTCAAGGCCAGCAAACGAGTAATTCCACCTTTTAGCTATCGACAACTGAGTCATAGGAAAAAGATTTACTAGATTAACTCGTAAAACTGTTCAAAGATTTAACCGCGGGGTCAAGCATGTAACAATGTTGCTCTTTGTGCCGAAGCTTCCTCTGTGCTGCAGTCTGCCACATCCTCGTTATAATCCCACAGTCACCTGTTGTGAGATTTGCCTCCTTTGTGCAGAGCAACAGAAAGTGCACGGAAAAAGTGCGAAAAGTATTTGTGTACAGCTTCCTGCTCGCCGAGCTGTAGCCTTCAGACCACAGCAGGCAGGTGATACACCAAAATTCAAGTCTTACCTGATGTTGTTTGGTGCTAGTTGTCCGGAGCTCGCGGCCGCAGATGTCCCCTCCCTCTGATCAGCCAAGCGCAATATGGCGCTCATCCATCCCTCTTTTTTAGAAGCGGCCTGCCGAGCCTCCTCCTGAGGTCATCAGTAGGTTGTCGGTTTCACTACCAGGGGCTCGGGGCTCTGCAAGGGACTCCGAGGGGCTTCCCCCCCAAAAAAACAGAAACATAACTGTCTAAGGGACATTCAACCTAAGGTGGTATTCCCCCGCCTGCAGTGTAGTTTTAAATTCAGTCATGAAAATAAAATCCCATCAGATATTTGCAAAGACTTGTGTCTGGGGGTCGTTGGCATGAGCCATAAAACCAAACCAAAAGATTTCAACCTAGAATGTGAACCAGTGTATGTTTGTGATTTTGAAACATAGCGTATAGGCAACTGTATACCACACATGAAATGCAACTATTATAGCCTTTTAAGATTTTTCCTCCTAAAGCAAGTCATTTATTCTATCTGTAGGCTAAATCACACCATTAAATCTACACAGCAGATTCTGCTCAGTGTTTTATATCAAGGTCGAACTCTGTACGCTGTTGTACTTGGCTAAAATTGGTTCCTTACAATATCTCGCCCTAGTTAATTAATATTTTTATGACTAGTTGAGCTGCAACTGTTAACACAGTGTAACACATTTAAACCTCAGCTCTCTGCTGTGTACAGACAGGTGACACCTGTCCTCCCAAGCACAGCTGCGTCACATCACAAACTTATTTGCAGTATGTCGCTGGAAAAGCACGCATCGCCCGCCCTGCGCTGGACCAGGGAAGCGCTGCTATGTGACAGGGGAGGCGTCATCAGTGAGCTGGCCAATGAGATCACGGGATTAAAATAGAGCCGTATATATCGGAGGTTGAAACTACTTCTCACCATAATACGAAACCAAAGAGCCATATGCCAGTCCTGCCGTTCCCACTGGAACTTTACTGGAACTTTACTCCTCGAGAGAGGCTGGACACTGTTACTATAATCACCATAATCCACTCCTTAGCAACAACAGTAGAGTCTATAAAAAAAAAATTAAAGCGTGGATTAACTTGGACTAAAGGTTTTCTGATAGGCTGTGAAGTAGGCTGCACAAATAAATCCTTATTGTATTTTTTTTTATGACTATGATCAAACAGAAGATCAGGTACACGGAATACGGAGTCTATCCCAGTAATGCAAAACATTCCTGAATTTGCATGTTAGGGTGCCTGAATGAACTGTTTGCACAGCGCTGCAAGATGCAAATAGATAAAGTCAGAGGAAGTCCCTTTGAATCGTCCTCTGAATATTTAGAGTTCCTTAAAACCTGTTGCTCACCTGTTCTCTGACTGATAAAACTGTTTATGTTAGATTTTCTCAGGTTGGTGTTTCAAAAATCCAGTAAGAGGAACCTTCATCTGATAAACAGTACATGGACAAATATACTGCATGCTGGATAGAAAAGAGACCATTTGGACTGGGTATCACAAAACCCCCCAAAAGCTGATAGAGGCCAGAGCAAGTGAGTTAAAGCTTTAGAAGTAGATTTTTTTGTCAAACCACTGTTCAATATCAAGAATGAATCCTGAACCTCAACAAAATATCTTGAACTACCCCGCCCATTAAACACAGTAGAATTAGGATAATGATAAAATCATAGAGCCAGGTTTACTAATTTAGCACCTGTTACATGATATGAAAACAAAACTAACAGTTTCAAACACTGGAGAAACTGCTGCGGTTAACTTTTATAGAAAATGTATATAATCTCTTTTTACTGGCCAAACAAAAATTCTTGATATGTACAAAAACTGTCTTTGAATGATCCAGTATTTTACAAATTCACCTTTAATTGTTAAAATCATAATGCAGAATTTAAAATCATATAAATAGAGATTACAGAATAATCCTTATCACACTGGTATCAATTATGTTCCTAGATCTATCACTGTCATTGCAAAGGATCACCATGAGCTAAACACACATACACTGCTATTACTGTATGTTATCACAAAGAAGCAACTCATGGTAGTTTTGCCAGTGAAAATTTATTTTTCAGATTATATTCATGCTATTGACTTATCTCAGTGAATCATCATCACTGAATGTCTATGTGTCAGACCTGTCTGACTGTGTCTCCAACTCCTTGAACCTCTCCAGTCGCTTCCTGGCGACATCATGGATGACATCTGAAACAGACATACAAGATTCAGCGGCATTCTGCTACACTGCATGTTTGACATTAATGACTTCTGTAATGTTTAAAGATGACCACTAGATGGCATTCAAACAATGCCTATGACCTGATGACACCTGGAGGAGGACTTGTGAAATACACAACGGTGACATATTAAAGTAAAAAAAACGAATAAATAGGTGCTCTCTTCCAGGGCACAAGGGGTCACTGAATGGTTTGATGAGTATGAAAATGATGTAAATCATATGCTACGGCCTTCGCAGTCACTTGATCATCAAAGCATCTAATGAGGGTAACAACTGGTGGCCCTACACCTTACTGAGACACTTTATGTTGGGTTTTACTTTAAGCTGTCACCCGGAATAGTGATGTTTGCATCTAGAAGTTTTAGATTCGAAATTTTAGAACAAAGTGCTACAATATTACAATTGTCTTAATTTTCAAACTGATAATTTTCAGCTCAGGGATGAGATATTTAGTGGAGATTTTGTGGAAACCCTACCAGGAAATCTTAATCCATCAAAAATACTGCTTTCCAAATGAAAGAATTGTTCATATAGAGCGCAGCATTGCTTTAATTTGAAAACATTATACTGTAGTCTCTTACTGTCAAGCAGCTCTCTTGCTACGTATCTCTTGTCCAAACTGTTGTTAACTTCAGCCATCAGCCACGGGAAGAAATTAGTCTCAATATCTGGAAACCACAAATATAATGAAAGATTAGACACTCATATCAAAACCTTCATGCAAAGTATCATAGATTTTATGAAATGTCACTGTAGCAGTGCAGTGAGTGCACTGGTGCCCTTGTGTGTCAGAAAGGGGTAGCTGAGTGTCCATGGTACAGGAAAGCTAGGGAGGAATGGGAAATTGACCTCTCTCCACAGGGTCATAAAAGTAGCCATGGCTTCTCAGCGAGGTAAAGACAACAGGTAGAAGGTCAGCCAGGTACTGCTGTGTGTAGGCCCGAGCAGCAATCTTCTCTGCAGTCTCTCGTTGTTTCTTCAGTACCTCTTTCTGCTCGGCGATTCTGCGCACCTGAGGTCAGAAGATGCAATAATAAAACAAGATTACAGGCCTCAAGATTCAGTGTAATCTCTCTCTTACTGTGACTGATAAAGTCTTCTGCTTTGACTCTGACAACAGAGTGTTTGCATGAAATAATGGCTAGAAGAACTGAGCAGCCAGTGGGGCAGCCTGAACAGGCTAGGAAAAACCCACCACGTATAAGAAAATCTCAAACTAAAACACTTTTAAATATCAGAAACTAAAAGGAGATAATGAAGGACAGACTATTTGACTGATAAGTTGTCTCCAGGAAATGTGGTGCAAAAACACCACAGCAAAGAGAACTCAGCAACACAGAGAGAGACATGATTCTAAAATAGATTATTTCATAGATTATATGACCACGTTGTCCCTATAAAGGCTAGTGATACCACACTGATGTAGCCTCAACTATTTAACCCAATGTTTTCTGTGATACAGTGTTGCAGTCGAGTCACTAAACCTCAAATCCAAGTCAAGTCTCGAGTCCCCAGTGTTCGAGTCCGATATCAGCAATTCAGTCTGAATATCAGGTTAGGTTTGAATGCTGAATGTTTAGCCTAGTCCACAGCTGCATGCTCTGGTTTTCCCTGATTTTCCCATTTTGAGATAGACCTGTTCCTATTCAGTCATTTTAAAGGGATTTTCAAAAATGTGCATACTTTCTCCTCCCTATGGCGTCTCTCCTGCTCTTGTAGCCGCTGCACCTCTGCCAGCTCATTATTTCGAAGCTCTTCAAAGGCCCTCTGCTGGGCCCTCAGACAGGCCAGCTCTTCCTCCTCCATCACCTCCAGTAGAGATTGTTCTATTGTCTTACCCACCAGGACCTCCAACACTGGCTGCACCTCTCTGTCAAAGTCAAACAACTGCAGAGGATACTTGTGGTAAGCAGTATTATATAATGCAATTTTAAATATTAAGTGTATATTGATCAAGAATCTGCAGAAACTGCAATTTTACTTGGTTATATTTTCTGGAAGTGAGAAAATTTAGGCACACAAATGGTAGGTTTTGTAATAAGTGTATGTGGAGGGCATGTAGCCTATTGTCTTTTTTCAATTACCTACCTCTCCCTCCTCTATCTGTGTTTCAACATCTTTGCCAGATTTGGCAGGTATAAAGAGCGGAGTTGCTGGTTTGTCCAGGAAAGCATCAGTCTGGCATTCAATATCTGTAGCCACTATAACATCACTCAATTCTTCCAGGTAAAGCTCTGAAAAAAAAGGTCAGATCATTAGAAGAACACCTGGTTTCCAAAAACACATGTAAAAGTACTGAAGCTGTCAAGAGAAGTGCTCTACCTGTTTGTACATCGATATGTTTTCTGCCCTGCAGGGCCTCAGGAGTCTTGAGTCGGAACTGCTCTCTGGCATGTTTTCGAGTAACGGCTCGCCTCCTGATCTCCTGTTGTCTTTGTATTTCAGCTGGATCTGGCTGAACTGTCTGTCAACGTCAGATGATAATATACATTTTAAACAGTTCAAAAGAAAGGCAAACCTATCAAGTATAAAACACAGCAAAATTAATGTTTTATACTTACAAGTGGAATGATGTGCTGAGCATAAGTGTTTCCTCTGACAACTCGACGGTCGTACATAATGTTTCCATAATTACTGGGTGTCCTGCATTGTCAAGAAAAACACAGTGCTGTCATGTAGTCAGCTCATTATAGCAGCTGACTCTGATAACCAAGTAGGATACAACGTTACACAGTTAGCTACCTCAGACGTCTGCTTAAGTACAGTGCAGTAGTACATCTAGTGGCTACTTACCTTAAATTTAATTTGTTTACACCACTGCCTATATAATATTTTATCAACTGGATAATTTGATACACTTTGTCATTGTAATGTTTGTCATCCTTTCATTGGCACTGTTCACTGTTATTGAACACATTAGCTACTCTGGCTTGGATAATGTTAGTTAAAGTGTAGCTAAGTCTCCAGCGTTGTTTATCAGAGTAAATACTACGACGAATGCCTGTCTGCCTTCGTTTACAGTGAAGCAACGTTAAAAACTAATAAAAGACAACACTGGCACCAACGTACTGTTCAGAAGGAGGCTCTCTGTATGTGGAGCGGTTCTCAACAGGTCTGGGGCGACTTGAGAAGGTGTATATTCCGTCTCTCTGGCTGTGTGAAACAAACGCCATTTGTCACAAACTATCACAAACAATAACAACGACAACCATAAAGAAAAGAGGAAACGAAATGTTGTAGCAACCGTCTCCAGGAAGTTTGATATTACAGCGGTTACGTCACCTCCGCCTTCTTCTTCTACTACCAGTATCGCTGCTACTACAGTTACTTCTAATACGACTACTGTGCCACTGACTACTTGGCTACTTTACCGCTCTACCTTAATTTAACCTATTAAGTCACCCCCTGGCCTAAAAGGCTCATACTTACATTGTCTGCTTCGATGTTGTTCTTGTTTTTGTGTTCTTTATTTTATGGTATAGACCTTTTGTTTATGGTCTATTTACTTTATGTATAACTACTGTCATACAGCAAAAAAAAAAAAAAAACCCTCTCTACCAACCACTACTACAACTGCTACCACAACAACTACTATTGCTACAGCTTTAGCCAGCTACTGATTGCTATGCTACTTTTCCTACTGTTACCTAACAATACAACTGCTATATCACAGCAACTACTACTACTATTCTGATACTACCTCTACTACTGCTACTTCTAATAGCCTACATTAGTCTGCTATACAGTATATCCTATTTAAATTACCAATGCAGTTATTAAATGAATCATGTGAGGAAGTTGTTTAGTCAAATTCTCTTTAATGATCAAGCATGAGCTGTCAGTCTCAAACAATAAGAAAGTAAAAATAAAGACATAATATATGCACACAGCTATTGCCTAACAAAACTAGGAATGTCAACAGACATGGAGTAGTTTCACAAAAGTGCAAAAGCTAATCCAACTTTGTTGAAAAATTGTCCCCACTTCTGGTGGCTTTGAGTTTTTCATTTTACAGTTCTGAGTATACCCTGTTGATGCATGAACCACTTCCTGCACAGGGAAGTCAAAAGGTGACAGTTAGCTTTATGCTGCACTTACAACATTCATTATCTTTAGCATAATACAAGTTTACAACTATATTAATGCACTTGTTTTCCATTTGCATTCATATTGATGCTATAGTGGTGATTACAAAGAGGTTAAACAAGGCAAACTACTACTGTGGGCTGTGTTACAGGCTTAGCATCTTTTGCTGCTTCTGCCATTTTTACACACTTAAACAGTGTACAAGTAAAACAAAGGCATGCAACTTGAAAACAGATTTGTTTGCTCACAGGCAACACATGAAATGTGGGTGTTTGAGACATTTAGTAAAGGAAAGCAGAAACTCAGCTCAAGATGATGTTAACCACAGAGAGCACTTTCACCTCTTTTAGAAGTGTGAAAAAAAAAAAAACAGGGCACTGGAATGTGCTCTAAACTGTATTTGTGAGGACAAAGTTGAGAGCTCTGTGGTCAGAGTGATGACTGAAATGACATCTTTGTTTCTTTCGTAGATTTTATGGCAAAGATAACTGTGCTGTTGTTTAGCATATTAGGTTTGTTATTTTACAGGTGACACTATTTAAATAACCTGACAAAAAGTTATTATATAACATTATCATGAAAACTATACTTTATTCACAACACATACAGCCAAATATAGCTGCAGCTGGAGGAGAAGACCATGCTGGAACCACGCCATATGTTTTTTTCAAAGGAATAATCTAACATTTATTCAGATGAGTCTCTGTGCTGTAAAGCACTGGGACTTGTTCTTCTTTCTGCATGTTACATCATTTATGCTTCAACCCTCACAAATCAGTACACGTTATTAAAGAGTGAGCTGTTCAGCTTGTCACTGTGCTGACCTCCAGCCATGAAATTACACAACCAGCGGGGCATACTTCCACACGTTCATTTATTTCACTATTGTAATGTATTCACAACTAGACATTTAACACTTTGTAGGTTTACTCCAGAGTTGTAGTCATGATTCACCTTTACACAATCCACACACTTAATTACAATGCTGCCTATATGAAGTCTTTGACTCAAGACAGTGTAGCAAATACTCACCTGATGATCAAATGCCTTCCTTGGTGTATAATCAACCTGTCTTGTTCACTCGGCCTTTTTAAAACAGTAGGTGGCAACTCAAGCAATTAGAAAGCCTGGTGGTAATTAAAGTAAATAGGCATCCACGTGGAAAATGTAGCTATTGAAGCAGTAATGTACATTTACAGTGGGCAATAACAGGTGGTAATGGAAGCAGCTAGACCAGTAAGGTTGAAACACAAGCACCTGCTGTAAGCAAGAACAACATATGCTATGTGCAACATAGGAATTTTGAAATGTAGGCTACAGCGTTGGGGTGGATACAATAACAGGGACAGTTATATAATTTAATGCAACAGGCCTACAGGTAAGTGTTCATTTTTTGCTGAAATTCAAGTCTGTGAACATTGAGGTCAAGAGTCCTGAGTGCAGGACTGTTACTACATGACCAAAATTTCACACTTGATAACAACTAAACTACCTTCATGACAACTAAGCAAACTCCAGGATGGGTTTGCTAGGAAACCTTATACTTCAAACAAAGGCATAATTTCCTCTGGAGATGTAGAGACATATTCCCCATGCAAGCAATGCAATAAGCAATGCAGTACTCACTGTACATACACGAATGTACACTCTGTTGACAGTATGTTAGGTACACCTAGCTGAAACTATCCATTCATCCATCCATCCTGTAAAGGGTAATGGGGGTACTGGAGCTCATCCCAGTAGATACAGGGTGAGAGGGTGGGTACATCTTGGAGAGGCTGCCAGTCTATCATAGGGCTGACACATACAGTAGAGACAGACAACCACTCACATCACATTCACACATACAGGCATTTTAAGAGTCACCAATCAACCTAACCTCCGCAGTCCACACATATTCAGCATATACATATGCAGCAGGCTACTGTATTGGTGACTCTAAATTGCCCGTAATCTGGAAGGTAAATTAAAACATTCTGATAGAATATGGCTCATTCTTAGAAAGCAATGTTTTTTTTTGCAACCAAAGAGATAGATCATAAATATGATTTATTCACAATTTACATTTACAATTTTTCACCAAACTCTATGCACTCAAGTTCCTTGATATCTGTTAGAAAAAGTTGTTTGATATTTCTTTGCAGAGAAAAAATTATCAATATTATTTATTGCATCAAAGCTCCTGTGTTATTTTTCAACATGTCTGGCACAGCAGTGGCATCAGAAGAGACCAGAGCAATGCATTCTGCTGCCCTGATGCTACTTTGTAGTACTTCCTCTTAATGATTAAAATCTGACTGTGAGACATGATAAAAGCCTTGTCAATTGATAAGACAGTGCAACTTAACACGTATCTGCAAATAATTTTATGAAGTGTGATTTTTACTAACGTGTCAGAGAGGTGCTATTTAAGCTTGTATTGGATGATGTTTGAAGAGCTTCCTGTTTTTTGTTCCCCTTGTACAAACAAATAGCAAGTATAGCTTACCAAATGGAATCATGTGGATTATGAATTATAGATGCTGCTTTTTTGTGTTACCATGTTTTACTACTTATTTATGATAAGACCAATCAGAGATGAACAGTGTTTATCTTATACTATAAAATGTTATTAAATAAGGCTCAGTTTTTGAATGATTCAAATTAAGACGTTAGAAGGAAACAATGCTTTAAAACACTTTTGCAAGGAAGGAAGATGCGGTGGCATCAGTTCATCATGCAGAAATAAGAGGAACAGCAATTCAGAGAAAAACCAAATCCGTCCATGTGACCACGTCTGGCTTCCTTCTGTTTAAGCATATGCGCCAGAACATGCTGTTCTCTCAATGAGGCCTTTTAGCTTCTGTTATGCAATACATCTAGCAATGAGAAGTTGAGCCAAACTAGTCACTCTTCTCCATTTTCTCATTATGTTTACCACTAATGATTTGACTGGTGGGTGATCCTGAAATACAGCATCCACTGTTGATATGACAGATCTCATATAAACAGTAGAGGAAGATGTTTTGTTACTACTTTAACTTCTTTTATTGAATAGCTTTCCTTTATTGAAAACAAATTATGGTGGAATTTCACAACTCTGGACAAACTCTGACAAAGATTACCAATCTACACCATATCTAGTTGACTTTATTTACATTTTAGGCATACAGGTAAACAAAGCATAGCTCATCTTCAAAAAAGTGCTTCATTGTAGTGGAAGAAGAAGATCCTGCAAAGTGATGATTTACAAAAAGCAAAACAAACAAACTGAAAAATCCCATTGTGCTCAGTGTGCTATAATGCACATATCACTGTTGACAAAACTTCACACAAACATAGAAAATCAGAACTTGTAGCATATTTTATACACAGCTAACAGTGCTGTCATAGCTTCATTGTGATAGACTAAATATCTATCAAGATAATTACATATCTTATATTTGTACTCTAAATAGTACTACAGAGAAAGTGCATCCAAGGAGGCACCACAAAGCTGACGTTCATTCAAAGTGAAACAGTGGAACATTAAACGATCTGACTTTACGTGCATATACAAACATTGCTCTGACAGAGCTGCTTAGTGGGAAGGGCCTTAAAAGACAGTTTCTTTGTCTAACCAGCCAAAGAATAGTAAAAAGGTAAGGAGTGGGGTTAGGGGGGTGTTGTGTATGTGAAGGGAAGTAGTCTTGTTGCTAAATGAAAACATGCAATCTGGTCATATCAAGTCCTCTTGGTTAGAAAGTAAAATAAAAAAAAAATAAAAAACAAGCCTGCTGGAATGATAACCGGTTGGTCCAGTGACTTTACCCACTGATGTTCAGCTCTGAATTACTTCTGTCTTTGAGAAATGTTTGCATATCTAAAATCTGATCTGTGAAACAGTTCCAAAGTCGATCAAACATAAGACTCCTTGGCGTAAGAAAATTCCTCAAACACAGGCTGGCTACATCTTCGTGACACAACCTCATGATGGCCTGCGGACACAGATTCGGACATGGCTCTCTGGCGGAAAGGCTTCCGCCGCTCAGCGGTGTTGGTTTTGTCCTGTGCTGCTTGAGCAAAACAGTCTATGTACTGATTGACAGAGCATGCTGATGGGAAGTCATAATTTACAGAGGATGGGCGGGACCTTCTCTCCAGCTCAATGGCATGTTGTACAGTCAATGCTCCATACTGTGGAGGGAGGCTCACATTCCGCACTGCCTGCTCATACGTTGGAGGCCTGCAGGGCAGCCTGCTGTCCACTTGCTTAAACACTTCAATGGCAGACAGAGGGCGAGGTTTGCGCAGAAGCTCTGCTGGTGGGTCTGCTTCACTCTGAGAGTCCTCCTGGAGAGTTCCACAAGGGAAGGCGTTCTCCTTCTGAGAGTCTTTCTTCAGGCTGCTCCTGCTGCTGATAAGTTCCTATTCCCCAGGACTTTACTGGGTAGTCTCATAGACTGTGAACGCCTCCTCTCATCTGAAATCAGTCTGGCAATGTCCTGCTGAGACTTAACCCCCACTGTCAGCTGGCCAGTAGTGTTTGTTCTCCTGGAGCAGGGTGGTGACCCCACTGGGGAACTGGTGAAAACAGAGCCCTCTGATTGGTTGGAGGCAGCGCTTTCCAAGGAAGAGCATGAGCAGTCTCTGATGCGATTACCTTCTATGTAAGCCAGTGAGTCTGTGTTGGAGCTTCTGCTCAGTTTTGTAAACAACAATACTGGTCTTGCGCCACCTTGTCCAAGCAAGAAGGAGTCATCTGAAATTGGCTTTTTCAGAGACTTCTCCTCAAAGTCCCTCTTCATAGAGCAGTCATCGTGGCTTCTGGCATGGCTGCACAAGCTCTGAATATCAGCTGAGAGCAGGATGATGGGCTCAGAGCAGCGACGGTTGAATTCAGGCTTTGTATTGAAGATAGCATCATTTGCCCAAGAAGAGGTGGTTGTGCTGGGACTGAGAGAGGAAGATGAGCCACACTTTCCACGTGTGGAGGTCTCCCCTGCTTCTCCATCTCCATCTGGGTCAGTGCTGTCATACGCAGAGTCATGGTGCTGGGAGCACAGTGAGTCTGCAGAGCAGGAATAGGAAAGAAATGATTATAATCATTATGTTTTACAAAAACTATTCTTATTTATTCAAGCTGTGCAGATCAAAATTTAATTTGACTTCAGTAAGGGACTGTATCAAAATTACTGAACGGGGTCTGAAGAGAACAAGGAAGGATCTTTAATTTTTCATGCCCCAAATTTATATATTATTTCATCGTTATCTTGTAGCATTTACTGTTAGCAAAAAAATATTGAATTTCAAAAATGCAACTCTCTACCCATCAAAATAATTTTTCTACAGTCCCTAAAAAGAAATGATATCAGTGATTTGAATGATGTGCCTATATACCTTCATCTGTATCCAGTAGATTTGGGATATTCTCTCCAAGTATCTTATAGTGCTCAATCAGGAACTCAGTGAGCTCTGTGACCTGCAGAAAATCAGGAAAAGAAACATAAGTCAAATTAACAACAATATTTTTATTTGCTAACTAATATTGTTACTATTAGGAGTAACAATATTCAAAACTAAAACTGAAAATTAGATAAAAACAATGCACAGGTTACTCAGTTCCGAAAATATCTTTATCAGGCTTTGACTAAACAATCATCTAACAAGAGTCTGTGCATGTGTAACCTTACATATGAAACCTGAGGTTTTCTGCACTGTGACCTGCAAAGCTTCAATGCATCAAAAGTGAGAAGGCAGACTCATAACAAGACTTTTCTACCTTTTTCATCTTTTCCTTCTGCTCATCCAGCGGCGTGCTATCCAGCTGCAGCAGCGTGGGGGCAATACACACCGCCAGGTTGTGGGCGTCCATCTTGTTGATGTCAACACTCTCTAGGATGTGATGCAGAATGCAGACTAGATGCTGCAGGAGGAGCTTGTTGTGCCTTGGGAGCTCATCTATCACCCTGGTAGGTGAGTAGCAAAAAAAGAGGAAGGAAGAAGATCAGCTTGGCGGTCTTTTTTTTTTTTTTTTTTAAGTTCTTCCTTTTTTCAAACTGAAAAATGCCAAAAAAGAGAAGTGGTCTGTGTTTAGCCTACAGATAAAGGACAGTCAGAATTCTCTGCATAAATCCACTCAAAAAAACCCCCAGCCATTTATTGCTAACCACATAAATATTTATGAAAATACAGAGTTTCTTTCTATATATGTCATATTGAAGTGTAAGCTGAGAGTCACAAATGCAGGTAAATAGCACCGTTAGCTGGCGTCGACTGCTTACTTTGTGATTTCCAGAGCCTTCTGCTGAGTGTCTTCATTGTCCAGAGCCATCATCCAACTGTCATAAAGCTCAGACACCAGCAGGCTGCCAGGAAGTTCTTTCAGAAAACTCTGCAATAAACAAGAGATTTACAGTGAGGAGACAGTAACAGACATGGTGATTACATTAAATGAGTGGGCCACATCACAGTGGAGATGCATGCATACTTGTACTCCACTACATTATATATGTTTATGAATAACACAAAATAAATTAAGATGTATTAGATAGAAAAGCTACCCAGTAGTATATATAGTTTTGCACAGTGAGTACATTTACTTTTGATACTCTAAGTATATTTAATGCTTATATTTGCAGTTTTAATTAAAACCTTTGAATGCATGACTTTTGCTTGTAACACAGTATTCCTACACTGTGGCATTGCTACTCTGACGTAGGTAACAGATCGGGGTACTGGAGCAGCAGTAGTAGTTGCGGTTGTGGTTCTAGTTGTGGTAATGTTGAAGTGACATACTAGGATCCGCATTACTATTTGTAATAGTATTTAAAGTAATACTAACATTGTAGCAAATATTGTATTAGTAGCTGTCATAATAAAGTTTTGATTGTAATAGTGGTACTAGCATTACAAAACACGACTGGTAAGAAGAGTTAATTACATTATATTAATTATAACCGCTGCTACCCAGTGGCATACAGTATATTCTGATGCACTGAGGTTACTGAAGTGATCACACGGGACAGATATGGGAACGTACTTTAAGCAGCCCAACGAGCAGAACGACCGGTTGGCCGTCCAGGTCCACCTCCAGGCCACTGTTAAGCTGCTCTCTGATGTCCTTCATGTTCTTGTTGTTGCATGGCTTCCGAAACACCCCCTCTGTGGACGGCCCTTTCTTCCTCAGCAGCACCAGCATCTCCTGGTGAGAGGATGATGATAGAGGAAAGCAGAGGTGAGTCTATCATAGTAAAAACAAAAGCAGCATGTGGGCGTGTCTCTTTTCAGTGGATTCTTTGGTGAGACCAGCTCATGCTAAGTAGGTGCTTGTTTGCGAGTCATAAAAAAGTCACATCAGGTTTTATTTTTCAGTAGTTACAGTGTTTAAAGCAATGAAATTCTACCAAAACAGAAACTGTAAATAAATAAGAACCTCTTGAAACCAGACAGAAAAAAATGATCCTAGGTGCATGTTGTTTAGTTGTTGGTCTAAAAAATGGTGGTGATGGCTTAATATGAACTCTGCCATTTAAGATTGAAAGGCAACTTACTGTGACTGGTTTGGGAAGTGAGCAGTCGTCTGGGCATATCTTGCAGAGTGGCTGCCCAAACAGCTGGGTTTTGGTGTCTGTTCCTGTTCGACTTGCTTTGCTGATGAAACTAGAGCCCTTTCTGAGCTTCTTCACCAGCTTCCACTTGGATTCTGATGACAGCAGAAATATTTTATCCATCAGCCTATTCAATATTTTATATTTAAGTGGTTGATTTTTGAATTAGTGCAACAAGAATTGTGTTTCTTCATTTCCTCCTTTCATTTCTTTTTTTCCCTGCCTCACCTCTACACATTGTGTAATTAATGAGCCCCTCCCTCCAACACAACTGCCATTTGGCTTCAAAACTCACCAGTAGGCTGCATTGATTTGTCCTCTTGATTATTCAGCTGCTTTGATGGAGCATGGATGTTTGCATCGCCCTGGCAAAAAAAAATAAAGAGTGAGGTGGTGATGAGTGTGCAAGAGGAACACGGGAACGCAAACAACAAAAAGAAGAAAGGGGCTGTGTTTTATTCTCAACTCTATATTTTGCAGCAATTTCAGAAGCTCGATAAACCCAGCAACATCTGTATAATGTCATTTCCTTTCAGTATGAGTGGAAAGGTGCTGGTGTCCTTCCCTTGATTATCTTTCATCTAAACAACGACAATAACAATAACACTGAAAAGGGGTTTTTACTTACATCGAGTGGAAACACAATTAATTGTTCCATTCCACCTCCTGTTAGAGTTTTAGTCTAGAAAAGAAAGAGCAAACTGGAGGTAAAGAAGCAAAACAAACTCTCGATTTTTCTTCTTTAATTTTTCTGTGATGAGAAAATAAAAATACATAAATATTAAAATTTATTCACAATTTACATTTACAATTTATCGCCAAACTCTGTGCACTCTCTATGCCTGTACTCGTATTTTTATTTTTCATTTTAAATTTATATAATCACAAATAATGCCCGTTATTTGAAGTTACTATGTATCAACATATCAGTGGATCAATATGTCATCACGTGCATTGTCCTTTTTCCGAATAACAGCGACTAAATTAACACTGTGCTTCATTTTAATTTAAGATATTATCTTGCTGTAATCAACAAAACATCTAAAATCCTGATAATTAAAAGCTTAATTCATTTGAAAAATTATTTTAAAAATTCACGTGATTGAGGTATTAACTTATGCTTTATTATTATACGAACAGGCAGGCCAGTCTGGTACAAGCACCATTCAACTTTTATCAACTATAACAGTTATAAGAATCACACAAACATCGATCAATCAAACATTCACATGATCAGTGATTTAGTTTCTTACCTGTTAAGAGTATCTAACCAGTGTTCTTTCACCTCACGCGAGCTGTGGGCAAAATAACAGCATGGTACAAGTTATTAATCCACAGAGTAAACCGAACAGGCGAGCAGGTAAAATAGGACTGACACAAATTTCATGCCTCCAGCCTTTTTAACAACTCTGGTGGAAACTGTAACGCAGTCATGGGAACAGGAAGCAGCGTCACGGCGGGCCCCAGGCAGACATCTTCCACTTCCTCCTAGTCTAGGTTTACTGCGGCTCAGTGTCCATCAGTGGAAACAGACACCAGTGCCTACGTATGCACCTGTAGGGCTTTAATAACCTGTAATACACTGTGGTCTTATAAATGCCAGGTGTCTTACAAAACCATATGGTTGTATGCATATGAAGAACGTGTCGACAAGTGAGCACATTGTTTTTTTTTTAATCACTTCCATGTGAGTGAAGAGGAATGAAACTTTCACACAGTGAATCATTACCAGAGCCAAGTAACCAATGAGAAAATGGCATCTCATTTTCAAACAAAACAGCTCAAAACTTATCGAGGGGTTATTCATCTTCCTGGAATACAATAGCATCTGAAAAACAGCTTCATGGTTTGATTCTATTACTTTGCGAGAAATGTGGGAGTTAATGAATCACACAAACAAATCATTTTCTGACTGGTGCTTGTTAGTGCCTTTGAACAGACAGATAGCATTTACTGTGAAGGAAGAGTACAATATCTTTTTAGATGATTACATTGTCTAGACAAAAAGCATGAGATGCAATGTTTCTCCCACACTTCATCTTTATTGTAAAGGCCAGTATTTCTAGATAATCCCAGCTGTTAATCCCCTTCTTGATGGCCAGCTCTGCAGTTCCTATTTTCTAACCTCTTGTCTTGTGATACTGCAGGGAGGACTTTCTCTTTGCTAGTTCCCCATTTTCATAAAAGGTCACACATCATATGTCCGTTTACTACATATCAGTATTCCATGAACAGGCTAAGATTTCACTGACAGTTACTACATATCAGTATTCCATGAACAGGCTAAGATTTCACTGACAGTGTTAATGACAAAGACAGACACAAACCCAGTGTGTGTGCTGTTCTATTGATGTGTGAGGCATTTAAAGGGATAGTTTTGGCAAATACACCTGCTATCTTGAATTAGAAATTTAATACCATTGCCAAGTCTGCCCTGTTTATATAATTAGCTTAATTTGGTACAAAGACTAGAAACATGGAAATGACTAGCCTGTCTCAGTCTGACTCTAACAAAACCCACTCAAGCATCTCTTTTCATCTTTAAGAGTTCAGTACAGATGGCCGGGTCATGGATTCCAGTAATGAGCTGGGTTAGGGCATGAGAAGAAAGACAATCAGTTCAAGATCCTCATAGCCACACATCATGCTTGTGTATTCAGGCATGCAAGCATGTGCGACTCAAAACGTTTGATTGCTTTTGGTTGAATGTGAGTCATCTGCTGCGTGCCTACTCACCGGAAACACACCATACAAAAAGTGAGAGCCCAGGCCAAGACGAAGGTGACCCTGAGGTCAACGTCCCCTCTCCTTTCCTCTTGTTCCTCCGGCTCATCTTCAAAAGTATAAAGCCAGACATCCTCGAGGTTCACTCTGTGCTTCAGGCGGTAGCTGCCAGTCGACCTGTTAAAACAGAAGCAAAAGAAAAGGTACTCTAAACACTCCTTACTGCCCTTTTCCAGATTAAAATGAAGCTTTCAAATCCACCAATTTTTGACCCACTGGTTGATTTTTTTCTCCTCTATAATCATAGCTGATTTTAGAAATATATTCATAAAAAAAAAAAGTTTTTAGTTGTGAAAAAGTTGGAATTGAACATGGAAATAAAAGGCATAACTTATCTAAGACTGGCACTGTCAAAAAAAATCTAATTGTGAAATCAACTTGGATGGAAAATACATTTTTGTACTTGAAAACATGGTGAGGAGTATCAGTCTATAGTGTGAATATTGATTGTCAAGGATAAAGAGAAGAAAAAAATTGCTTTTGTCTAGTGTGAACATTTCTTCATTGCAGCAAGATCATCAGCGGCACCTTCTACTACTTCATGTTTGTGATTTATCTCTTGAACCAAAAGCCAAAACTTGTTTAGTGCACTTTACTATAATCAAGGTGACTCAACGCCTTCCTAAATAACACAGTGGTGTAGCATGTTGGAATAAATTGCTTTTTTAAGTGGGTGAAAAACAGCTTCCACAAACCGAGACTAGAACAGTAAATGATCCGAGGTGATTTATTCTTTTCCTACAGCTCCACACAGCCATGCTTCAGATTTAACTAGTGTTTGATTGTACCCTCGCTGACCTCTGCGTGTTTGCACCAGAAGTGGGCTGACTGCATCCCGGAGTGTTCACAGACTGGAGGGAAAAACAGTCAGAAAGGGATGAAGACATAAAGAGTGTGCTTGAAGATTCAAGAGGTGTTAACTTATAGAAAGGACAAGATGTGAGGTGCAACTTTGCAGAGGTAATAAAGACAGGCTGTGAGAAATAAACATGGACAGATCAACACATGGATCCTGGAGGAAGTAGGAACCGAGGGCTCCATCTGATGCATTATGTACAAGAGCCCATCATTTACACAGCACACAATTAATCACAGCTTTGGTATATTTTCACAGATTTCAACCAGTTCAGTTTGCCCTACATCAATTTCCATTCCGAAATAATATATGGACCATTTACCATTAACACAAATATAGTGTAGTAAATTTCTCACACAGTAACATACTAACAAATATACCACATATACAATTATTTCCTAAGAAGGCCAAAAGCTTAGGTAATAAACAGCTGCCTTGAAGATTTAGTTCAACATTTTACTGAAAGAAGCTTAAGTGAAACTTCACTAAGGAAGCTCTTTCCTCATGTTCCCACAGTGGGTTGACATGCACTCTTAATTTCAGATCAATTTCTCTCCGTCATCTGCTTTCCCACGCTGTCAGATGTTCCTCCACCTTCTATCCTGATGTCACTTTATCTGATCAATGATCTTTCCTCCTGTGTTGCTTGAGCCAATCAGTCACTAGCTGCCGTTCTTTAAATATCGTTTCAATTCATCCCGTTTGTTTTTCAGATCCACCATAACCTCCATGATGCCCATTGTCCCAGTCCTCCTCTCCTCTGCTCTCCTCACTCTCCATGTATTTATATGTCACCATCTCATGTCATTAACTTTGTCCCCTCTCTCCTGAGGTGTCCACTCTCTCCCTGTACCTTTCTGCATGTACCCCTGGTTCTGGAGCTATACATTTCCAACGAGCAGTCACCGGACACATTAAGCTTCCCAGTGTTTGTTTGTTGTGTCTTGATGCTTTAATTTTCTCTCACTGCTCACTCCAACCAGTTGAGGCAGAAGGCTGCCCAACAAGAGCCAGTGTCTGTAGGAGGTTTCCTCTGTTAAGAGGAGTTTATCCTTCCTACTGTGACCCAGTGCTGGGTTTCTCTCTATAAAACTGTAAGGTCTAGACCTTGTGTACTATGCCTTGAAACAGTGAGTTAGCCTCCCCCCCAGAGTTTAAAATATATGTACCAACTCCAACAAAATACATATACTGTGCCAATTACATAATTAAGGTTATTTTCAGACTTTATAAAGCTACCTCCTGAGCCACAAAAGACAATGAACATTTTCAGTTTGGGCAGAACTAAACATGATGTACTGTATAAAAAGCTGCCTTTTCAATGTTTCAAGTACAATTATTTATAGAAGTAATGAATGCTCATATATAATGACTTAAAATACTTCACAATGTGTTTACTGTATCGTGTCCCAGCTGTGCTACCTACTGGAACAGTGGGCAGGTTGTGGTAAAGAGATGAGTGTGATTGTCCTCCCACTCAAATGCTATAAAACTTCCATCGGCTTTGAAAAACATCTGACTAACGTGAGCAACTTGTTATTGCAACATCTTAAAACTTGCTTATTTGTATTTGCTCTGTTTAATGATGTTGTATAGAAATCTGGAAAAGAAAGATAATGCTGCTTTCATTCTAAAGGAACACAGGAGGGGAAGATTTTTACCACACCCACTAATGATAGGTTAAAGAAGTTATTAAAATGGCATATTAAATTCTAAAATAAAATTCCTATTAAAGGCAAGGTCGGTCTGAGTTGATTTCCACAACAGCTCAAGTAGTTTTTAAAGTTATAATTCAGTCATAGGTGTGAATGGAGGGTCATATCATGACAGTTTTGATTTAAGATATTATCACTGAGACTAATAAACCAGCATTTACAAGTGAAAGTATCTCACTGACATGTTTTATTTGCTTTAAAGTCAACAGAACTTCAGCTGAAGATGTTGAAATTACTTTACAGTGAACACTCCTGAGTTTCCCCTCATGTGACTCTGCTTAGTGGGAACCACCACACTTTCTTCTTCTATCGTTTTAAAGTCAGAGTGACTGAACACAAACAGTCTGACCTGGGAGATTCCCTAACAGTCTGAGTTTCAAGTCCAAAAATACATGTTTTGTTTATACTTCCTCTTTCACTCTCCCATTCCAACTGTACAAATACAGTATTTTTCAGCAGAAAGTCACTTATATTACTGAATTTCTTAGTTTTAAAAACTTTCTGCCAGATGATTCAGTGGCTTCCCAGTGGTAATGTTTTGTTCCATAAACAATTATTAGATTTTCTTCACATTTTACTGAAAATAACTGACTATCACCTATATAATGGAGTATATATTAAATTCTATATTACTTACTTGAATTTGGCGATGACAATCAGGTGGCTGAAGAGGAACAGGTGTCTCTCCCTGGTCTTTGTGCCCTCAGTGACCTGAACGCACTCGTCCAGCAGCAGCTGTTCGTTCTCACTGCTGAGGCCAAGGACAAATGGACTCTGCTCCACAGACACCCAGCAGGAAGCCTCCTCCCTGAGTGAGAGGACGCACACAAAAAAAAGGGTGAGTGGCAGGAACAAGCTACAGGCAGACTAGTCTAATGCTGATGATTACATCATTTTTAATGGGTTGAGGACATTTATCCAGGCCCTTTTCAAGCATTAAAACTGTTCCAGAAAGGGTCCTAAGAGGTTACATTATAAATCTAACAGATCATTATATGATCAATGGGACAGGACAGAATCATAAACATAATCTATTTCATAATTCATTCATTTATATAATCATTATAAAACACTGACAGTCATATCCTTTGTCTCTGAAAATATTTATATTAATGACTAGGTGTTATAATGCAAACTCCTGTACCAAACATCAGCAATGAGTCAAGTCAAGTCAAGATTTTTATTTTCCATTTATGCATAAACAGACACTCTAGGCATATAGGAATTCTTGTGCAGCTCTCCTTAGGAGTCAGGTAAGGAGTTAAAAGCCAGAAAGAACACTAGTCTTAAAATAAAAAAAATTACATAAAGGTGGCAAGCATTAAAACTGCAATACACAAAAATAGGGTAGTAGTATTTTCCCTAGTGACCTTCGAACATCGCACTTAGTAATGATACTGTGTGATAACTCAAGGCGGTTGCTACTGTTGTGTTTTGGTGATTTGATTCTGATTTGAGTGATCTGAGAAAAAAAAAGTGTTTTTTTAATGTGAACATGATCACTGGCTCCAATCAGTAGCCTCCAATATTGTGATCCCTCCCTAATGATCACGGAGAAGATGGGAAGAGAAAAATGGAAGGACAGGAACACAACACAAGGGTTAACCCTTGTGCCAGTATGACCATTGAATTGCAGTATTCTCCTCACCATAAAGTGATTACAACTATGTTGCGCTGAATGAGGGTTTTGACTCAGATTATATTTATTTCCCTCTTCTGTGTTTTATTTACAGCTTGTCCCTTCATATTGAATTTGGTTTTCTGCCTCCAATTACCTTTATTTGACTCTCAGTACATCTTGCACCACTTTGTTCTCAGTAGTAAATATGTCTTCTACTTTTCTGACTGATTATTTGAATATGCTGCATGTATTAACAACAAGTATTTATGATAGGCACTCAAGAAAACATTATTTCCAAAACCAAACTTGCATGGAATTATATGAATGTCATGAAAAAAGGCAGAGGATATAGAAAGACTTATATCATAACAATAATGTTTAATTAAAACCCCCTTTTAGTACCAAATGACTAGTTGTGATCACTTTCTGGCCAGGACAAAACTGTATTGTACTGGTTGTATTTTTTTTTTCTCCTCTACAGTACATCACTGATATGAACAACCTATTTGTGATACAGTGATTATTGTTGTGGAATAATTATATTTAACTAATTACATGGACTCGCCCACTGAGGGCTCTGGTGGTCTTTATGACACTACTGTGATAAGATCTCTAAAATGTTAAAGAGTTAAACCTCAGACATTCAGGGGGAGGTGATTAACCCTTGTGTTGTGTTCCTGTCCTTCCATTTAAAAGTTTTATCTTGTTTGAAGGAAAATGTCAGATGTGTGTGTGAAGGCATCACCACAGGTAAGAGTTGTTGTTCCCTCTAAAGTGATTATGAAACCAGTTTTGGCCCTTGCTCTTCCCACTGACTGTGGGTTCAGGGTGTTTATTCAAATAGTAGCATCAGAGGTACTTTCCCTCTAGAAACTCCCATACCTAACTGGAGACACAGAAAATACCAGCAAATCAGAGTGTGGAGAACTTCAACTGGTGTTTATCACTGTGTGAACACACAAATGACACAAAACAACCAAACTCTAAAATACATGCACCACTGCTATGAATGCTTAGGCCTAAGTAAAGGTATGTCATATGGTATATTAGTGTTAGGTTGTTATATGCAATACAATTCCCTGTAACAGATGCTGATTTGCTTCTTCTGCAGGGCTGTACTCAGTTATGAATAAAACAACTGCTTAGATGAAGTACCTCTAATGATCCAGTATAAGGAGCAGAATGCAGTATTCTCCTTGCCAAAAAGGGATTAAAGCTAATATCTTTATAATGAAAGTAGTTTTCAGTGTTTGATTATCTTTATTTCCCTCTTGTGGTTTATATTTTAAAAAATTATCAGCCTATCCATCATCCTATCCGGTATCTTTGTACCAGTTTTAGTACCTTGAAAATGCCAGTATGACCATTGAATTGCAGTATTCTCCTCACCATAAAGTGATTACAACTATGTTGCGCTGAATGAGGGTTTTGACTCAGATTATATTTATTTCCCTCTTCTGTGTTTTATTTTAAAGACTATAAACCATCCTGTCTGCTTTACAAGTTAAAGTGCCTATAAGGTTCCAGTACAACCAGTCAAATGCCAAAAACTGATTACAGCTTGTCCCTTCATATTGAATTGGGTTTTCTGCCTCCAATTACCTTTATTTGACTCTCAGTACATCTTGCACCACTTTGTTCTCAGTAGTAAATATGTCTTCTACTTTTCTGACTGATTATTTGAATATGCTGCATGTATTAACAACAAGTATTTATGATAGGCACTCAAGAAAACATTATTTCCAAAACCAAACTTGCATGGAATTATATGAATGTCATGAAAAAAGGCATTGGATATAGAAAGACTTATATCATAACAATAATGTTTAATTAAAACCCCCTTTTAGTACCAAATGACTAGTTGTGATCACTTTCTGGCCAGGACAAAACTGTATTGTACTGGTTGTATTTTGTTTTTTTTTTTCTCCTCTACAGTACATCACTGATATGAACAACCTATTTGTGATACAGTGATTATTGTTGTGGAATAATTATATTTAACTAATTACATATAGCACATTATTGTCACCGTGGTTTTTTTAATTGGTGTACATTCTCTACATCAGTGGCAGTCCCACTACAGTGAAACTAGCACCTATAAATCCACCCTCCACTCAAGCAACTACGCAATGCATATGCAATCAGGATGCTGCATGGGAGGAAGTGTGAGTGTGTGAGGTATCTGACATTTCCCTTTGCTTTGTGGACTCGCCCACTGAGGGCTCTGGTGGTCTTTATGACACTACTGTGATAAGATCTCTAAAATGTTAAAGAGTTAAACCTCAGACATTCAGGGGGAGGTGATGAAGAGCCCACACATTAGAGATCAGCCTTGACCCGTCACTAAACACTCTGTAGGTGTGTTGTTTAACGTCACCTAAGTCACAACAACAGCTAGAGGATGGACTTTCTTTTTCCACAGTGAACATATAGAATCATGGTTTGTAGCCAGGATTGCAGACATATTGAGGCAATGACAATATACACAACAGACAATAGCACTTTTAGTCTTGTGGACTTTTTGCTTATTATGTTTTGGTGCAGTGAAGATGAATTTCTACAATAAATGCAGTTTAAAATCTTTATCGCCACTGTGAGGAATTACATTCTGTCAGAGAAATACTTTATTTGTTGCCCTAAAATTATAGCTTTTTTCTAAATGTTTTCTTACTTCCTTGTAATACCTGATATTTACATGACTGTGGGCTTCTAACAGCGACTCAAATGGGATAATATGAGAGATGAGAATTGCTTTTTGGTTTACCTGCTCATAACTAATGTCCACACTGATGTCACAAGAGGTCCAAAGCCAAAATCCTTGGGGAACTACTGGAGTACTGTATGTATGTATGTTTATTATAGTATGTAAATGGTGGATCTCTGTATAAGAGGTCAACAAGACAGTTTTATGTAAAAGATTCTAACAGCCAGTGGTCGTTGGTTTGTGTGCAGGTTTCTGTTTCACACCACCACCCTGTAAATTCCCCACAGGGACATCTGTTTGTGGCCTGAGCAGAGTGGGGCACATGTGGTGTCGTTACAGGGTGTGACGACAGCAGCAATAATCTGAGATATTCCTTATGTGCTGCCATCTGTAGGATGGAGGCTGCAGTGGGGAGATAGTGCCTCAGAGCCATAAGGGCTTTTACATTAAGAAATACAAAATGGTGCCAGTTACACAACACTCCTCTAAATTTCAAAAGAGACCAGAAAAATATAATGTGCTTCAAGTAAAAAACAACAATAAAAAACCTTTTTCCCCTAAGAATAACTGTTGAGATGCTCAGTGACTCCTGAGTATATGCAGCTTTTTATAGAAAGGGTAGGACTAAGACACAGGGCACTACAGAAAATGAACATATACTGTATGTTGTTCAGTGTAGGAAACAGTATTTAAACTAATGATGTACACACCTGATAGGAGACCAGGTCATCCCCAAAGCCTTCCCAAAGAGCAGCAATGGAGCGGAGCGGTGTCTCTGAGCCAAGTGTCGGAGGTGCTGTAAGAAAACAGACGACTTGTAATTGTGAGTTTTAAATACATTT